ACACGATCTCGAACCTCCGCATTACTAACATGGTGTTGCCACTGGATGTTAGCAATCCTTCGGAGACAACAAATATTAAACATAGAGAGTCATCTAACACCCTCAACTCGGAGAGGCCAGGTTTCACAAGCATAGAGCAAAACTACTCTCACCGACGCGTTGTAGATCCGACGTTTTACAGCCAGACGGACATCACAAAGGCGCCAAAGGTGGTTCAGATTGGCATAAGCCGCTCTGGCTTTCATTATAAGTGAAATTATCTCATCACTCACGACACCATCAGCACTTATGCAGCTACCCAGTACACGAACTTCTCGACTACTTCTATCTGCTCACCACCCAGGGTGAGTATAGGATTAGAATCCTGTCAGTCTTGTAGAAGTACTTTGCACTTCGAAGGTGCAAAGCATATACCATATCTATGGACACTGATTGCCAACTGATTAAGTGTGGATTGTATGCCTTGGGCATTATCAAACAGTAGGACAATATCATCCGCATACTCAAGGTTGAGAAGTCTTTCTCCAGGCAACAGATCCACACCGCCATTACTTACATCCATCAGAGCTGTTTCCAGAATGTCAAGAATGTCTCAGGCACACCCTTCTTCAATAGACGATCCCAGAGTATAGTCCTGTCCAACGAATCGAAGGAAGCCCTAATGCCAAGAATCACTACGATTGTTGGCCTTTGATAAGTATGACAGTGTTCTAACATTTGGCGGAGGGTGAAAATATAACCAATACATCCTCAACCAGAATAAAAACCAGCTTGCTCCTTGCGAGTCAATCATTCTCGGGTTTTGAACAACATACGAAGTATGACGGAAGCCAATAGTTTGGACGCAATCGGGAGTAGATTTATTACCCGATAGTTGTTACAGGAACGACGTGAACCCTTTTTAAAGATTGGGACAACTATCGACTCATTCCATGACGTTGGTACACTGTCTAACTCCCAGACCTTTGTAAACAACGTCTTCAGTTCCTTAGCCAGAACGTCATCACCATCTTTAAAAAGAGCCAGAGGTAGGTTGTCTGGGCCCGGTGATTTGTAGCGCTTCAAGAGTTGGGGTTCCTTGCGAACTACCGCCTCATTTGGTGGATCAGTCGTCACCGGTCATGGAGGTCAGGACAGTCTGACCGGTGTTGCCGGAGCAGCAAACCGATTGGACTGCCCTTCGAAGAATTCCGCCCATGGTCCAAGACGTCGATGGATGTTAGTAATTGGCATCCCGTCATCCTCACAGATTGTTCCGCTCACACCAGACTTCTTGCTGTCAGTGGCTCGGATGAGTGGGAAGATCGTCCGTTAGTTACCAGATGCAGCTGCTGCTTCCAGCTCATTAGCACGCTCCGACCACCAGGCTTCTCGGACCTTACACAAGCTTTACCCGATTTCATTACGTAAAAGTCGTCGTTTGTGGTCAAACTCACGGTCACCGAGAGTAGACCGATGGGCTTTGATGAGTTGTAAGGAGCCTGAAGAAACACGATGCTTATAAGCGGGACATTTTGCGAAGACACAATCGGCTTTACTCGCCATTTTGATGGCGTCATGAAGTTGCAACCAATGTTCATCTATATTTTTCGGTGGGATGGTAGCTAGCCTAGAAACAGATTGTGGTCTGTGCACAGCCGCAGTAGATGGTCCCCGTTATCTGTCCTGCGACCAACAATTCCCCATCGGCTACCTAACCAACTCTTCTGTGCCTAGACGCCCGTCCTGAGTATTCAAGTCTCCGGCTAGTACTATAATATCTATCGAACGCACTTTCTGTATAAGAACTGTTAACTTGTGGTAGAATTCATCCTTGATTGCATCCGGGCTGCAGTCTGTCGGCGCGTAGGCGGAGCTGACGAAAAGACATCGTTTTTTACACCAATTTCTTCTCACTTTGATGGAACCTTCTAATCTAACATTACATAACCAACTGTTAATGGAGATCCAATCGATTAGTGCTGCCTCAGCTCTAGCGCTTAGTGCGACACCAACGCCAGCAAGACCAGACGAACATGTCATAGGGTCCCAGGATAAACGCATGCGAAATAAACTTTTTGAAGCGACAGATGGAGAGCGAATTTGTAGTACTTCACCAGAGTCTTGAATACGGGTCTCGGATAGACAACAAACGTCGATATTAAGACTTTTCAAAGACATAGCCAACCCTATCTGTTTTCATATGTGCATTAGTGTGTGAACGTTGAAGGCAGCCATTTTGAATGGTGCACGTAGTTTCAGAAAAACTGTTTCGGTACTCATACTCGGTGATAGAATTCAATTTCCAACAAGCCAGTGACTCGAGATTGTTTAGATAGAACAGAGTTTTCACCATAGGCGAGCTGCTGCATAAGTTGAATGATAAGAATACACAGAGTGGGAATAAAAGAGTGAATAAATGACGTAGTAAGTAATAATAGTAATAATGTGAATTGTTTGACTTTCAATCGAAGCGTGAACAGTATTTTCGGTGAATATCGTCATTTCTTTTATTTGTGTGTGGGCTGTGATACTGCCCGGGTGCCCAGACCGAAGCAGGTGGTTTTCTTATGGGGCTACACCCCAAGCCTTTGACCTAAAGGTCTGATCCACAACGCAGCGAAGCATAGTAAAGAGGTGCAGTCCCATGGTAGCCGGTGACCAACGATTGGTTCATACGTCATTTGTTCCTTTAGGATACTAGGGCCCATATGCACCATTGGTTTGGGTTCCGGTTAAAGCGTCGAACATTCGCTTTTCGTCCTCTCATTTTCCCCGCCACGAGAAGGCAGTGAGTAGGATTTCCTTGGCAGAGGCTGTATACGCGTGGTCGTGTGTGAGCATTTCGAGAGGGAGGGCAGGCCCACCTCAGTCTCGGCCATATCAGGGCACTTAGGCGCGTACTGAGAACACTGGATAATTGTGAAGGTATACAACTGACTGACGAGGAAATACCTATCGATAAATTACTGGATTTATACTAATGCCAGATCTTATAATGGAATGAGAAATCTTTTCAGGAATCTATGATTTTAAATGATATAATAGCCAGTGCTAACTTGTAATGAAAACTATCTTCAAAAATACATTTGTTGTTTTACACTATGTGATTGGGAATCATACCTAAATAAATAGATGCTTGCTTTGGTTGTCAGAAGGGGTATCGGCCTCGTGACTTCCGAAGGAACTCGGCTTTCATCATGAGGCGTCATAGTTCTTCTAAATGAAGACCTTCTGATTCTCAGGGCAGAGTTTAAAAGGTTTGAATACTTTTTTCTGGTTAGCGTTTTCTAGCGAGTTAGTTTTATACAGGATGGGGTCGCTAACCCCATGCCCAACCCTCCTCCTCTACCCGGGCTTGGGACCGGCGGTAGCCTCCGGAGGGACTCCAGGCGGAGTTATTGAGAATCATAACTAAATATATTTTGTATACTTATTCATTTTTCTCACTTTCATTATGAACTCCGTTCAGTTTATAATGTTATAATCACTAAATAACTGTCTAACTAACTCTCAATACTAGTTCATATATTTATTTCAAACTCCAAATTGGTTGCTGATATTTCTGTTATATCATCAAAATGATACAATCCAAAATGTTAACTATATAACTTAAATATTTTATAAAACTTTTATTTTATAATTTCTCAAACTAAACATTTATATTTATCAAAAAGACAAAAGATTAGTTATTTATTAACTTTTTAAGTAAACAGATTTTATACCGGTGATTCACAATTATAGCATTATATCTGAACTATTATTTAAGTATTTAAATACTGACATATCATGCTTACGTAAAATAACTTTAAAATATGAAAATTAACATTGTTCTGAGGGTAAATCACATATAACCACCCATTAACAAGATGGAATTGATAACTGTGTGGTTATTTATTTACCAATACAGATGAAATGTTTTTATGACATTTATTTTATAACAACTTGATCACTATTTTGACAATATATCCGTCATCGGTAAAAAAATATACCCCACTTAACTGGATGAATAATACATCTGCTTTAAATTTTAAGATTATCTTGTTTTCAGTTAACATAGTTTTTTTTTACCAACATTTTGTGATGATACGAAAGTACGTTGATTTTAACATTTTACAACAGTTAAGAAAGATTCATAAGTATAAATAAAAGTTTACACGATTTAAACAACTTAACTCGAGATATTATAATCATTAGTAGTATTTTTGGTCAAAATCAATTAATACTGGTGACTGCACAATATTTATTACTTAAACTTATAAATAGAAACGTGTAATTGTTTACGGCACTGATCGTTAAATTGGTAATCGGTTGTATACGAAGTCACTGACAAACTTTCAGCTACACTATGTGGGTTTTAGAGGTCTCAAGTCCCTAGGTTAGGTGATCTAGTTGTCAAATTTTGATTTTATTTTTTTCACAGCGTCATCAGACATGCCTTGATATATCCTCATTCTAAGCTGAAAATATTTTACGTTATCTTACTGCTGTGGGTTACATAAATTTGTTGTGATCAGTGATTGTAATACATAGCAATAAAAAAGAAATAGAAAACAGAAGTCAGTAGTTGTTTTATTAATTATTTTGGTTATTTTTAAGTTGTATTTATCGAAAAATGGTTTCATGTCAATCTTATGTAGTCCTAAATGTAAGTTTTTTTTTACCACCTAGTAATTATCATTACCTTTCATTTTTTGGAAATAACATTCTACTAACTAAAAACGTATTACTTAGTTCTCCGTTAAATGTATCTAGATGATGCACTTATTGTTCTTTATAAATTGTTGGACACTATAGAGTCATACTGCACATAAATTATGCATCTTAATCGTAAAAGTATTTATAATCTCCCCTCTCTCTTTCTGCTGCTCCGATTGGAGATATGTAAAAGAAAGATTGCCGTGATGTAATAAGCGTGTGAAAATACAAGGATCATAGTGATGCATCTATTCATTTCAAAAGTATCTATTGTCTGTATTAAAGTAGTTAACTAAAACTATAAGCATTTATTTTCAATTTAGCCGAAGGAGTTTCGAACAATGTAAGTTTTCCAAGTAAACAAGACGCTCAAGAAATTATCAGAAAAGTTAAATATGCTTTTAATTTGAATGAACAAATCCAACCACATATTCCAGAAGAAATATCAAAGAAAATTTTCATTCGACTATTCAACACCGTTCAGTGGTTGGATAAAGTTTGTCGACATAATATTGTACCTGACTATGACCAACATATGGTGCGTGAGGTCGTTGAACCTTTATTGGAAGATGCTACGCTTGCCACGATTGCAAAAAGATTACAAAATAAAATCGAGTTTTGGAAAGGACTTGGTCCTGCTTGGAATACTCCACCGTAAGTTAAAATTTACTTAGTTAACTATCATTCTATGACATTTGGTATGCTAATAATTGTCTACACCCCATTCGAGTTTTCAATTTACTGACTAAATATTTTGTTTTTTATTGTATCATGAAAGTTTCTTTGAAAGTATGTCAATATTTAAATAGATAACATGTAATCTATAACTTCTATTATGCCATAAACTATCTTTTTTATACTCGAAGACAGTTTTGGCAAGAATGGGAATCACCTGAAAATCAGTTGGCTTTTGGACTTTTTTATCCTATTTCCTGTTTTCTTACTACTGTCCCAGAAATAACTGACAAGTTTCTCGCCTCGTAGCAAGGATAACAACTCCAGATTATTAAGTTTGAATATAACCGGCCACATTTCTTGCTTTGGTCGACTTTTGAAGGGTGTTGATTAATTAACCAACTTAAGAATACTACTTTCCGAGTTATTAACAGTAAGCAGACAATGTCGTTTAAAGTCGGTTAGTTTTTTAACGAAACATAGGTGATCAACATTAGTCAGAATGTAAACATGGAAAGTCGAAAAATGTTCCACATTTGTGTTCTTGTTCAGTATTTCGTTTTCATTATTTATTAGTATTAATTTCTTGTTCTGAGTCTGTAAAATTTTTTGAATACTGAAAGATAATCCATGTTTGTCTTCTAACCAATGCCAAAATGATTTCCTCACCGTATATAAGATAAGTTTGAATAGGATTCAAACTAACAATCTAAACACCTTTCATGATATCCTAACATGCAAAAATGTCCTAACGAGTAATTGGTTTTCACGATTAGAACGTGACATTATTATACTTTACATGACATCCTGCTATCGGTATAACTTGTAAATTGTTTTGCCGTCTTACAATCGATTGTCATTTTTGAGTTATATGTAACAATCATCTCAATGTAAAGATTATAAACGCTAACTTTTGATCATACTATCAATAATGTTTTAACAAAAAGTCCTTGGAACATTTTATATAAACTACATATGCTTTTATTTGATTATTTATTTCATTCTGAAACTGGTTTTATCGGTGAAGTATTATTGATTTGTTTAGATTTGATAATGTAGCCCGCATGATTTTCAGTTAACAAAACGAAACCTTGACAGAAAATGTAGTCACATTGTGCTTTCTTAATATAAGTTCATAATTTTTACGACATATAATAATGTATGTATACAAATACTGGTGTCTTTTTCATGAAATTTACCAAGTAAAGTAACATAAAATGTTTAATTATTATATATATAACATTGACTGGTTAAGAACACTTTATTTAGGTAGACATTTTAAGAAAACAATATAGATTTTTCGAGTGCGCTACTCTCTCTAGAAGTTTAGATAAACTTATATTCTGGAACACTCGAAGATGCTTTATTGTTAAAGACTGTTTAGCATATTCAAAATGTGTAAACATTTATTTAATGAGAAAAAGAGAATGCAGCAAGGAAAATTTTCTTTTCGATGAAATCATTTGCTTAAGCTGTACACTCGTATATATAGTTATATGCAAAATATATGTCTATAGGAGGATAGAAAAGATTGTATCATAAATTTATTAAGCCTTTCCTCTGAAGATCCCATTCAGGTGTACAAAACATTTTTAGCCAAAGTGCAAATATCATATGGATATTTCACATATTTGAAGTATTTTTAGTAAGTTAATTCTAAAAGTTCTTAAGGAGTACAGATTTAACAAAATACTGGAAGTAAAGTTACCAACTTTATCTAATTGACCAAGTATTTCACAAAACAAATTACATGACAAGCATTCTAATTAACTGCGACAAAAGATTTAACTCATAGTCTTCCTTGAACGATGTTAGAAGCACACTGTCTAGGATAATAATTATGCATATGAACGTAGCGATGAACATTATTGTTGAGTACAAAACAACAGTATATTAGAAAGTGTAGTTCAGGCTAAGTTAGCTACTAAATATCATTGATCAGTCTTTTAAGCACTGTATACCTGGAGACAATTGATTCTAATCCTTTTCCGGTTCAGAATTTTCCATAACCTCATTCGTCATTGTCACTGTTTGCAAGACGCATCTTCTCAAGCAGGAATATCATAGACAGTTCAATTGCAGATATCTTTTATACAGGCTACAAAGAGTTGAGGACATAAGATACCACATTATACTACTAATACTATTACCTTGTGCTTCGTATTACAATGCTTGTGAGTGGATGACCATTTGATGTAGGAGTTCATTTTAACTATTTAGTGATGGTAAGTAAGGAATGAGTCCAACCACGGAATCAAAAGACCTATGAATTCATATGGTTTAAGTTTATCTATAAGAAACTGATGGTTAACCAAGTCAAATATCTTAGATATGTTAACTAATTTGCGCAAAACTAGGTTGAGAAAGGAATGTTAAATAAACCTAGTTAACAAGTCATGCAAGATCTAGCTCTCAGGAATTTTTTTTACCAACATTTAATAAGTTTTTCGACAGGTCAATTTTCTAATATTTTGCCACTTACTTTTAAAATGATCGTAGGGATAATTAATGTGATAATATTTGGTCTTTAATTATGCTTGTTCAGCTTATTTTGGTAATCCAATTTAAAATTTCATATGGACTTTTCCAACGCCAAGAATAAACGTCTGCTTTCAGAGAAAGCGTAAACAGTTTAGATAGTAGTAATTGGATAACAAGTCCTCATTATTTGAAGTAAAATGATGGACTCTCGTCTACTCCGTTACTTATTGAAGCGTTAACCAAATTTATGGTCTAATGATTTAGGAATAATTTAAAGAACGGACTTTATTTAGTTGTTTGTTAAATGTAGTACCTCCAACCTACTGTGACCTACCAAATATATCACTTAAGAAGTTAGTGATGGTTTCAAAGTTCTGTGTAGCTTTTAATCTATATCCTTCCTTTGTTTGGTTACAAATGCTAGTTATATTTTTGGCTGTAGAAATAAAGTAACTGATCCGCAAGGGTTTTAATTTTTTACTATATTTAACTGGTACGAATAAAACATATCAGTTGTTTCTCTACTGGAAATTCTTTGTATTTATTCAGGTGTGACTATACAATCTCTGTTTTTATTTATCAACACATTAGTGTGCACTCTCAGCTAACCACTGCATTTCTACTTGTGCAATAAAGGCTGTCCTGATTTTTGAGTTATCATTTAAAGATTTTAACATACTCTCAATTTATAATGAAAATCCCGACATATGTTTTTCCTAAATGTTTGAATTCAATCCATTCGTCTTTAAGTGGATTTTATGTAAACTCCGACAGTCAGCAATAATAGCTAATCCATCAAGAAATGAAAATAACTACCTTATTCACACATATCACTTCGTCATTGAGTGATAACCAATTTTAGTCTCTCTATGTCCAAATCCTGATCAAATAGTATTTGTCAAGGTGTAGTGTAGTTATTGGTATATGTCTCGGATTCCTAGTGTATTTTGTTTGACATTTCGTGGTTTGAGACAACAAAAAGGAGTTAAGAACGTTTTCGCCAAGTGGTAAATATCAACAAGACTTCGAGAGGACTGGTAGGACTCGAACACATGTTACCCAGTACTATAATTAAAGAACCTCTCATCTAGCTATTCAGACTACGGATGATCTCCTGTAAGTAGAGACGTCTATACTCATCAGTCACTGAATGGTTACAAATGTAGTTTTGTCCCATCCTTAACTCTGATCAAATTATATCGAGGTAATAAAAAACGGCAAACTACTGACCACTGAGTAAGCTTTTTTTCCAACGACGAAAACGTCTAAACTAAAGTGTCATTCACTTTTCCCAACTTATAAAAAATACAAAGCAATTATATTTGAGAACTAACTTCCATTCGTTTTAACCGTTACTTTCTTATGATATAATTCGATCACTAAGTTGCTAAGAGATTTTAGAATCTATAAAATAGCATAGCGATTATTTCATTTTAAGTTATGCTAACGCTTATATATGATCATGACATGTTTGCGAGAATATGAGACTACATAAATTCTCTCAGCTTTTCGGAATAAATATTGGTCATCTTATTTTTTGTAGTTTCAAGTGAATTGAGCATTAGGTAGGAAGTTATTCATAAATACATTTTTTGTTATATTTCAGTGAGCAGAAAATTGTATTTCCACCGTTTTGTGACTTAATGTAGGCCACTTCTTCGGAGTATGGAGGTGGGTTATATTAAGTCATGAAACGTCAGAAATACGTTTTTCTACTCATTGGGATATCACAATAAATTATTTCTTATTGGTTACTTAGTTTACATATTCACTTTTCGCTTGCTTGATACGCAAAATATCTTCTAAACAAAGTAATATAATCACTACCAAATATGGAAATAAGTAAAAACAGTTGTTTTAAGATTACTTATCGATAAATTAGACGTTTAATTCTGAATTTATTTTGTTTATTTTTAGTGAAAAATGGAGCGAACATCTCTCTCGGTATTCCCCACAGTTTGCCTCTAAATCTGTTAATAAACGCCAAACATGGCACGCTGAAGCTAACATAGCAACGCCAAGCGTGGTAAGTTTCATCAACTAGCATTATATATTAATTGTTCAGGTAAATGAATTTTAGATCCTTGAGCTTCTCAATAAACAACTTTAAATTCAGAAAACTATGGTTTGATTACAAACTTGGTAATCTTTGAACACAACACTTCTACAATTTTACCTCTATCGGCCAGTAATCTAAGATATTGACCATTCTACCCATCGATATCTATCCTAGTCTCTGGTTAAAAAACTAAATTTATTACTAATTAGCTTCAGAGCACTTACGCCAATTTTTAACTTGATTTCAATAACTACTGGAACTTATTAAATTTTATACATTTAAAGCTACACATTTAACTTACACTATATTTTATATTGGACAAGATTGAAAGATTATGAATTAAATCCAAATCTTCTAACATATATCCATCATATATGTGTATACTGTTGATGATACATTTACAAATTCAGAAGTATCATGAATTCTCAGAATACTAATAAAATATAATAATTCAGCGTTTTATTCTTGTGAAAAAAAACGGCCACTTTACCAACGTTATACCAATAAGTAATTGTTTATGTATTAAGTAAAATATAATAAAGCTTGAGAATTTCTTTTCTACAAACGTTTCTTTTTAGAATATATAACCAACGGTAGAAAATTATTGGCAATAATAATAATAATAATTATTATTATTATTATGAACAGAAGAAGAAAATTGATTGATCGTATTCAACATTTTAGAAATATAAATCATAGTAATGATGATTAAAATTAGAATTTAAAATATGGAATTCAGTGTATTCACCATTCACATAAATAAATAAACTAAGAATTTGTCAAAATGACACTAATCATGTAAAATTTGCATTGATTTCATGATACCTTATTTTTCATTATGATCATATTAATACTATTAATAACATTTAGCTATTCAGTAATAGTAAATGATAAAATGTTTAGTAATATATGTATCAGGATCTCTAACTTAATTGTGGTTTAAATAAGAATAAATACTATCGACAAATATAATATGAAAGATGCATTACTTCTTTGTTTTAACTAATGTTACTGTTGAACCACCTTAATTCATGAATGATATGTGAAAACTAATTAATTTTTTTAAAATTACCTGGACCACTTTTCGGTTGAACCAGCTACTGATTGTGATATAAACGATTGTGGAATACTCTACTAAATGAAAATGGATGAACAGTGATTTATAGAGTTTTCATGCACTTAGAACGACATTTCTGAATGTATTTACATTCTTAGTAAATAAATGTATTCAACTATTGTGATCAGATCAAATCAGCTTACTATTCCGTGTGAATAAATAGAAAAGATTTGTAAAGCCTCAGTATGATTAACTAGACGTATTTTGATGGCACTACTGTTTAATTTCCAACATTCTGAACTGTCCAAATCAATATCATCGGTCATGTTTTATGTTTAGTGCTAATTATTAGCAGTTCACAATAACATTTTTTTTAATCAACCCATTAAGTCACTATTGTTCAATGAGCTTAATACCACTTCATCCCTTAAAATTTGAACTTGATAATTATATTAGTAATTATCAATTTTGTTATAATATAAAAATGTGCACTATATGAATCATTTGGTTGATATTTCTTCGAAACATTTCCTCTATTCACACAGTCTCAAGTTACGCATAATACATGCACTCCACATTCTGAGTTCCATATGACATCCAGTAATAATAAATTGATTTTTTTCATTAAACATTTACCAAAAGACTTATAATTTTTAATTTCTCTCTAAATATTCAATCGAAATAAACATGGTTACTACTTCGGGGGACTTCAAAAAACTAAATAAACAACTTAATTCTCTGATGATGGAGATGCAGAAGAATTTGATAATTATACTAAAATAACTCAAAACATAAACAAATTGATCCATTTCTCATGAAACCAATTCCTAGAAATTAAACTAAATTAACTTTCATCTGCTAAGTAATTGATTATACTAAAAAAAAGGAAACTGAAGCCGTTGTTTATAATATACACGAAGTATTCAACTAAGATCATTTAACTGTTCACAAATCATTAGTTAATAATTGGAATAACAATGACGAAATAATCAACATCATTCTATCATTAATTCAGCATTTCTCAGTCATTTCATTTGATTTACATTATAGAATTTGTTTTACAGAATAACGTGTAATTTATCATCGATTTCTTTTCTATTTCCTTGTCATAATTATATCCTTTTTTATAGGGAGATGTTGAAATAAAAGTAGTAAGTTATATTTTATTTTAAATGTATTATTGTTTTCTATATGAGCTAATTTATACTACTAATTTTCTCGAATAAATCATATCAATTATATCATTAAATAAATAAGAATAGTGGTGTTGCTTTGTAAGTTAATTATTGTTTCTTTTTTTGTATACACTTGAAATGTCTGTGAGCACATTGAAAACGACTCTATTTATAAATCATTAACAAGAAAACTTGAAAAGGGTTTACTTTTCTTTGGCTAGATTATGTCGTTAAAATTTAGGATCAAAAGTATTTTTATTGATTGACATGTTTAGGGAAATTAAAGGACAAAATAAACTTATGATTATCAATATTATAATATAATTCCCATTTATGAGTCATCTTTTGATATTCTGATAAAGTTTTCAATGAATAAGGAAGTTTTTCACGGTAAATACATATTCAAAGTTTTATTGATTCTTAAGGATGTTAATCTTCACTAGTTCAACAAAACATTATCATTAATTATTGAAAAAGTGCTTATTTTTAACGTTTCTCAAATTCTTTGACTTGATTCAAATTGATCTTCTTAGAATATTACACCAGTTTATTCTTCCAGATTTAGTAAAAAAAAAACAATTCGACGATTTCAATGTATTCACTGAATAGAATAAAACATCACTTAGATAAAAACTGGAAAGTTTTTGACCGATTTTATACTTTTCAGGAAGTAGTAAGCAAACCTATATACTCATAGTATTAAAACGTTCAGATCATGTCGTTATCAAATAGTATAGCTATTATTCTTCGTAGAATCACGACTCCTCACTACATTATTTAGAAAATGTAGTGAAAAGATGAATTTGGTCTAAAATATACGGTATATTTGTTCAGATCATTTGGAAAACGTTGATCACTATTTAATTAAGTAATTGGACAAAGTTGTTAAAGATAAAACGATATGAAATACGATACTTTCACTTGAACATAGTCAAAATAATAGAATGTTTCTTTCTGATTTTCTAGATTCTTTAACTTTCATTTTCTTCAAACTATACATCGAAGTAAATTCACAAAACTTTGAGCTGTAGTAACTAAAAATGACTAGCCCATCTTAAGCTAATACTCCTTTGTTATCAAAATGTCTTGGTAATCAGTACCATTTTTATACCCGAGTACTTGTAAAGTTTAGCTGTATATATTATATATTATGAACTTATTATAGACAGAGTTATATTGTCGAAAAATATCACTTTTCTCATTAATTTTATGGGCTAAACAAGAAAGTCTGTATTATCTGTAAGGTTTGCATTGCATTAAATTTCTAACCATTTTCAATAATATAATTTAAAGTCGATATAAATTTAAATATATTGTTTCTTCTCAGACACAAACAATCTCACCACGCCATTCTCCTATTCCTTCTGAACGAGCCAGAACTCCTTCACCCGTGCGTCAAATTGGTAAGTGAAGGTAATCACTTCTAAATAAAACTCTAAAAGTGAAATTAAGTCAAATAATCATTATGTGTAGTGTTTTAATCTTCATATGTTATGTTTCTTTTGAAGAATGTATATGATCATCGAGAAACTTTAAATAGATCAACTGTTAATGTCCATATAAATAAATTGAATAAATGTCAGATAGTTTTTTTTTAATTTCTCTTCCACTTAAATTTTAAGATGAAATAACTTTCATCAAAAATTGTCCAATCAATTTATTTGAAACTTGAATATCATACGTTATAACTTAATGTATCACTAATATACTAATTGGTACATAGAATAAATATCATAAAATCCATGAAATGTAGAAATTGAGTTTTATCGAAGATCTATTATTAATTATGCAGTATTTCAAATTACAGTAACTGAAATATGGAAACTCGCTTGAATTGACTTGAGATAGATTTTTCTCGAGAAGATAATGCTATATCAAAATCGAAGTAAACATAATTCTAATACCTGTTCTTCTTAGCGATCTTTTTGCTTATTGACGTACGCTTTCTGAATACGTCGAAACTCAATTGTGATCAAAGTATAGAATTACTGATAGATTTTTCCGGAGCCTGTAACTAATTTGGTTTAGATTCCGGATCATTTTTTACTCTGAAATACAGTGATCTCCAGGTAGTAGTGTGGTCAGTCAAGATCTAGCAGCAGTATTCAGTATATAAATTGTCACCACGAGTGTGTTTTCTTATGTAGTGTGATTGTTTGATTTTAATCGAGTTATTCTAAATGCCTATAATTTATAGTGTTTGTAAGATTAAACCGGTTACTTTTTCTAGGCACGGAAACCGTACCTATGGACAATGTGAATACAGCAGTATTAAATCTTACTAATGGTAATCCAACTGTTTCGTATTTTTGGTTATTATTATTATTATTATTATCAACAAACAGGCAAAAGAGATTATGTATGCTTTTACATATATTTGCACTTTTCTTGTAAGATTTTATATGAGCTCTATAGCATTTTGTCTTAATCAGTTCCATATACTTAACACCACACCTATCATCTTTCTTCGTAGTTACAGTGGAAAAATCTCCAGAACAAAGAGTGAAGTCATTGGATCAACGTAGTAGCCACCCTCAACGTCGTTGGGATGCTGAAGAAAAGTAAGTACACAATTATATATGTTTCAATCATTTATTTGTTCACGTGATATATTCTCAACATATTTTATGTTGTTAACATAAATGATAAATAAGTTATGTTTAAAACTTTTGAACTTTTTAATTTGAAAGTACTTACTCCATTATATTTTCATGATCAGATCTTTTTGTATATTTTATTACTATAACTAAGAGTAAATTAATTCTAACTGACTCAGTTGCAGTATACTAGTATATATATATACTAATATACTACTGACATACGTATCAAAGAAACAAAGGAGTCATGTTATAACTTGTGAACCTATGTGCCCTGTGTATTGGATAACGCAACGATACCGCCAATCAGAGAGCAGCGAATTATAGATCGAACCAGTGACGCATAAAACACGTGCGAGCAGCCTAGAGTCCTGATCGGTCCTGCTTCCCGCCTAACCCAGCCAGTTGAGTCCCGAACACCAATCTCAGCCTCTGCAATAAGAATCATTTATTTCAAACATACAAGGTTTATATACCCAATTCTTTTGAAACATTGTCATCGAATTTCTTGAAAATCTCATTAGTAGGTAGTCGATCACTAGAATAATCAGCATCTATCAAAATTTTATTAGGTTCTTGATTATCGTTTGATGCAACCGACAAATTTTTCTCATTTTTGAAAGAAATTTGATCAAAAGCATTGGATTCATTAAGATAACTCATATTTGATAAAAAAAACTAGAGAACTCCAATAAGTAGATTCATCATAAAATTTCGGTCTGGAGTGATGAGCTCCATTTGATACAATGGTCTTCATTATGCCACTTGATTCATTTTCTGTCTCTTCGCGGGCGGCTACTGCAATAATTTCATGAGCATTTAATAAGACGTCGTCTGCCTGTGAGCTGGACAAGTCAGTGTTTGTACATGGTGTTTCGGGGGCAATGGGATTTGAACCCACGACAGGGCATATCTCTGAAATGGACATTTCTGAACTACTGGGCGGATCATGAATGACTGCTACTGCTTCGCTCACATTACTGATTGTCAAGGATTCATAGTGGTCTTTATCGACACATCCATACGTCCTGCAGTCATTTTTCAGCTCGGTATGCAAATTAGAAATTAATTTATCAACTTCTGTTACATCTCCAAAACATGGACGATTTAGCAGCCGTGTGCGTAAATTGTTTCAAACATCCAATTGGGCATTTTTGAAACGCTTTTGTTGTCGCTCAAATAGCAACTGTAATTAATCGGAAGAGATAGTCATTTTCTGAATCAGCACGGTAATGAGGAATACTGTATGATTAACTAAGAACCAATGTCTTCCAAGGACACCGATGACCAATCTGGATGCTGATTGCTCGAGATAATTAGACTGAATTTCGTCCATTTACAGGCTGATGTTGAAGATTGAGGGTTCAAAATTTGTTTCCTACCTGGTACCAATTGTTATAACTTGTGAACCTATGTGCCCTGTATATTGGATAACGCAACGATACCGCCAATCAGAGAGTAGTGAATTATCGATCGAACCAGTGACGCATAAAACCCGTGCGAGCAAGTTAGTTGGTGTTAATTTGAAGAAACACTTGAAATCAGAGATTTGTTGTCAATTACTTTGTATTAATTTACAACTGACCAATTACTGCAAACTATTGTTGTATTAAAAATGACTCAATTCATTAAATAGTAATGCATCGTATGGCTGTAGTCACCGTTAACATGATTTATTTCAAATGTATAAAAAGTCGTATGCACAAGTAAGTTTCATGTGTCATATGTACCAATAATGAACTTCTTCGAGTTATTGCTTCACAATTAGCACGACTGCGTAGTATTGTTATGATGTCAAATATCTGATCCAAATAAATTGTTACGCTAAATTCTGTCAGAAGTAATTCAGTAATTTCGTTATCTATGCTTTCAGATGGTGTGTTGTAAATGTGCTACATGTAGGTGCAAAACCTCAAGAGCTAACTGTACAACCAGGCGATGTTCTACAAGTAAGCCATTATTTTAAATACGGAACCACTGTTTTTTGACTTACTTTTAAAGAGTTAGTAATAATTAATGCTTAGTGTGATATTTATTCTGTTTGAGTTGTTACATTTGCCTCCATTCTATTTTTTCATTTGTCCTACGGATTAGGATTTTTCCAGTGTGTAAAGAATCCCGTATAAAATTGATTTTCATTATAAGAAAGGTTTTACTGTACTCTATATATTCATAATTATGTTTCTTAACTCAAATCTATATTACGCTGCAATAAAATACTCATCACTTAATACAACGGAACTTTACCAACACAATAAGAAACCTCTGAAAGTATGAAAAAGTAATTTTCAATCAGCTTACATTATATGGGTACATCATGAACCATGGCATTATGTACTAATAGTGATCAGTATCAAATCAGTGTTTGAACAACCTCCACTTTCATATTATAAAATTTTTATTACATAATTAGATACATTTTACTAAATATTTCTTACTGGTTTACAAAATATGATACTACAATCAATCAAATGTTAAATCTGTAACGGTAACTAGCTGTTAATTTGAAATAGTTGATATTCTTGGCAGAAGCATGTTGTATTTAACTTTCTGACCGGCACTTGATTTTTATGTCTTCATATTTTAATAATTAAGTATAGTGAACATGCATCAATCATCTTTTTTCTTCACTTTGATGAAATCTTTTCAAAATAAAAGCGGTGTTATTAGCTCCATAGTTTATGACAGAAGTCATTATCAGACTGATAGAAACTTAGCTAATATATAAAATTCAGTTTTACATGAAGAAAATCCTGTAGATGTTACTCTTCACCATAAACTTTTTCTAAACACAAACATCGATAATTACTCTTTACTTGTGACTTCTTGAGTTTTTAGATTAAAGCAAAATTGTAGCCTCAAGGCAGTAAATAAACTCCTATCCTGTCAATTACATACTTAAATAATTCAAAGTATACAAGAGTAACTTATTTTAAGATGACTCTATAACAAGGACAACATATCATAGGTTAGTGAACAATGTTTCTTGATATCTGAAGTTTCGTCATATTCGATTCAAGACCCCATGCTTAAATTAATCATTTATATATAACTTTTTCGAACCAAATAAAATTGAAATGAGTTATGTAAATTCAGATCACATCTGATGGCAAAATATTAAAACGGCCTATGGTAAATTACGTAGCATACTAGCAATCTTCTGATGTTTTTCTTAGATTCACAAACCCTACATACTATTCACTACATATTCTGTTAATAGTATCCAGTTGATCATTTCATAGAATGCTTACAGTTGTATGGGTTTTATACTATGTAGTATTGAACTAATGATAATGTCTAGTTTGACTGTAGTTACTATTTTTAATATAAGAAAAATGCGAACTCATAAAGCAGTTGGTTGAAGGCATTCATATTTTGAGAAGAAAATGTTTCAGATCATAAATATAAGTCTTCCACTTCATTTTCAAGTTTAATGAAATATTCTGTAATTGTTTCTTCACTTGTTGGTTTAGATTCTAAATAGTAGTAAAGGTGATTGGTGGTTATTGCAAAATGATGCAGGAGAATCTGGTGAAGTACCGGCTTGGAAATTAAAAGCTTATAATTATCGACCAGATCATCCAACTACAGCTGGATTAAAGAAAACTCCATCGATGAATAATTTATTCAGTAGAAAATCTACTGAAATATTTGGAAATGATGGTGATAATGTTAGTTTGGAAAATCATTCCAATTTCCAGTCACAAAGAAATAATTCACATACGCCCAAAAGTATACTACGTGATAAGTCTCCAACTAGGCAAACAGATACTTCTGTTTTAAATTTAAGTATACCTAATTCACCTACAGGACAAAATTCTAACAATGATAATAGAATTATGAATGATAATGTTAATAGCAATGCTAATAATAACGTTATGTATATAACACCATCACAACTTCAGGAAGCAATCAAAATTAATAGTAATGTACCTATGATATTAATTCCAGTACCTAGTTTATATAGTAATAATCCCGATATGTCAGCGATTAATTGGTCTAATCTAATTAACCCAAATACAAATGGTGCTGAGTTAGCGAGAACTCCCAATCCTGGTGCTTTAGGACCAGGCTGGAAACCAGCTCCAATATTGAGTACTTCAGCAAGTAAATTTTCCTATTATTGATTGTATACATTCATTATATTGCAAATTTCATTGGGTTTTTATTATTTTAGCATATTTGACAGGACATTTTTCCGTTTTTTATACGTACTTAATGTTAATTGAAAATTGTTAGTTCCTATGAAAATGTCTATTTGACGATACTCCATTAGGAAAGGTCATTGAGGTTTCCAAACTTACAATATTTAATTAGAAAATGATATTATAATTCATCTGAAATTTAAGGCACGTTTAAAGAGCTTAAATTAAACAACTTACAGGATTTAATTGAATTATGAATATGGTTTTCGGTGCAGTAGTATCAAACTGTCGACCACCTAAAGTATATAATTAGATTATTGATCGTGTTAATAGACATTTTTTTCAAATAGATTAATACATCTCTCAGCTGAATAAACTGTCAAGTTTATGCATAAAAACAATGATGTAATGTTCTAATACTAGTTTTTAAGCAATGATTGTAAACCTTTCATTCTAATAAAAAGGTAGAATCTCACAGATTTGGATCTTTTCATAATTCTGAACAGAGCAAGGATAAATAGTATGATTTGAAAATAGATATAAGTTTATGCATTTTTATGGTTTCTCTCCGACTGAAAACTGTCTAGAATTACGAATAATTATGGGGTTAAAAAAAGATGAGTGATATCCTTTAGTTCAGGTGGTTGAAATGAAAATCTACAATGAAATAACAGGCCAGAAAATATGACATAGACGACATTCCACATTATTATTAAGATGCATTCACATTTATATACGGAAGAATTGACCAAATAAAATGAAAACATGTAAATTAGTAGATAATAATACTAAAACTGAGAACAGGTGATTACACAATTGACCGATATACTTAAAATAAAATCAGCTCATTGATTTATTTCGATAATGTAATAAGAAGACGAAGATTATCAAAACTATGTGATATATTAATGCAATACATTTATGCAACATTTTTACAAAAGATGTTCCCTAAAATATAACTGAATATTGTTCTGGTTTCTAACACAAGTAAATAGGAAATTTCGTGTTCCAGTGCATTAACAAAATACAATAATGTTATTGTGGGTTGAGAACAAAAATTGATGTAAACACTTCTCTCTATTCATAAAACTTGAATTATTTCACTATCATCAGTAATTAGTATAAATATTCTGAAATTTTTGTCTACATTACATGTCAAAATCCATATAACTATACATCTGACTATTTCTAATGTTCAGTTTTAATTTCATATTTAGTGATATCTTTTCATGCTTTCATCAATTGTTTTGTTTTCTTTTTTAACTTTTAATCTAACCATAATCATTGTTATCACCATGTGATATATTCATTGGTAAATGAAGCTGAAGGTTAGTTATTTGCTTATATTATTCATAATTAACTAATTAAAAAAATAAATCATTAAATGTTAATATTGACAGTTGAACCGTTTAACTCATTTCTTTTGTGTGAAAATTAGTTTTCCTGAATAGTAGCAATAATGTTTTTCTACACATTGCAAATTTTCTCTTCAATAAAAATGTAGTTATATTCTCAATTTTCTACTCCACAAATTCGTACAAAAATCTCCGACTTTTCTGAGCTACTAATCGAAGTCAAATAGAAACGTATAAGCTTTTTTGATAGACCTTATTAAGTTAATTGACTACAGACTTCAGGTTTCATGGGTCATCATCGATCGATTTGGATAAAATACTGGTATAATTTGACGTTTTTCCTATTATGGTACAAACTCAAAATGTTAATCTGAAACTTTCGTGAAAACTGTAAAATATCTGATTATTTACGAAGAAAATGAGTATAATGTGTAGCAGCTATCATTGTTTGATTGATTATCTGAAACCCCTTCAATCATATAAAACTAGCTCATCAGAAACTGAAAATATCATAATCTTAATCTATTGATAATTTTGTTAAAGATAGAATACATATAGGAGGATTCAAAATTAACTGATAGGCTTTATGATACTTTGAACGAATTATGATTTGATATATATCCTTTATCAATAGCTTTCTAGGAAAGAAACTACCATATAAAGCAAGATTTAAATTTACATAGATGAAAATAAATTTTTGGGCAATAAGAAATCGTTGTTTTTAGTTTGCATACATATATATCTATATAATAACATTGTATGATGAAATAGTTTATGTATCACACAACTGCACAATGTTAGATGTCAAAATAACACAGACATTACAAATTATTACTACTTTAAAAAAGGTTAATGCAATCATTGACTTCTATGGACAGAACTTATCATACAAATATTCACTGACACATTTTGCAGACCAAAGACTTAATTCTTGTTAGCTGTAACTTTAAAAGATTAAGCGAGCATTCATTGGTTCATACATCTTAGATCATCAGTACCTGATGTAAAATATTTCGAAGTACTGTCTTCTATCTCATATATTTAAAAAATAATTTTAGCATACAGGAAAAAAATATTTTATTCGTCTGAATAGAACAAACAATATGAAAAGTCTTTATTCGATATTTGGGGATGCTCTGGTTCTGAAAATAAATTTCTTGCAGAGTAACTACTATATGCTAAGAATCAGAGTTGATTAATGGTGAACATGACTTTCTGATTACACATTTTATAAACGTGATTTCTAGAGTTTGACATTAAAACAATAAATTATTAATGTAGAAAGTTTTCTAAAAGTGATAATGTTAGTCAACAAAGTATCTAAAATTCTAAAGTAATGAAAATCACCCTATCTATACACACCTCAGGACTTAATTTAGGACTCCAAACATTTCTCATTAGTCTCGCATATCTGCAGGTTTAAAGTTGGAATATCTATGTATCTCTCATCTCTATTACTTGTTGCCTTGTGCGATACTACACTCGTTAATTTCATACCAATTAATCAAGTAGATTTCGCGTGAAGCTTTTTTCTTTTCTAGTTTTTTTGCTCTACTCTATTGAATATCATACATCACGATTTGAGCACAATAATACTAGTGAACATTTCACACTCATTCAAAGGAAAAAGGTTATTTTTTAGATAGATTGAAATACATAATGTGTATATTTTTTGGTATAATAATACATCGATCATTTAAAACATTCTAATGGAATAATAATACTTATTGCACTTCTTACTTTTGATTCTCAATTAGGAGTGTCGTACAATTCTTGCATAATTTAATGTATATATATATGTATATCTGTGTGTATGCATTTGTTTGTGTTAGCTTTGGGCTACTCTCCATATCCTTTCAATTATCGTAAGTTCTATTTTGTGATAGTAATTAACAGTAGATTGTAACTTGTTTATTATTTCTTTTAGTTATATTGCCTAATTATCTTTTTGTTATACTAATTTTGATCTAACAATGGTTTGTTATAACTGCTATATCGTATACTGATTTTTCTAACACTAAATCATCAAATCTTAATTTCAATTGTAGAAACATTTCATTTTCAGTTATATATATATCACTCATAAGATGGAATATTTCTGAGAATTTGATTAATTGGAAAGATTAGTATCATGTGAGAAATAGTTTCTTACCTAGAAGGTTATGAAATTAACTGAAAACGTTTTCATTCTATAAGATGGTAATGATATTTACTGTTAAGTAGTCTAAAACTAGAAAAAAAAGTAACTATTGTTTAGTGTTGTTTGGATTGTAACAGTTTATCAACTGACAGTTTTTTTGTTTGAATAAATTTTTCTAAAGTTTTGCTTTATTTCTTATTAATACACACATTATTTCTACACACTATTCAAATATCATCAAAATATACTTCTGTTTCGTTGTCAAAACAAAAACATTTTATTACCTAACATTAATAATAACTAAACGATTTAATTAATACGGATTATTGCAAGTTAGTTGATTGAATTTAACATGTTTATTTTTAAGCAAAAAAGAATCAAGAACAGAATTGTACTTGAACAGTTATGAAACCTTTATTTCTGTTTAGATTAACCCTCATTTGAATATATAAATGATAATCGGCTCTATAATAAAAATTTAGGTTTTCGTTGTAAAGCATAAATATTCATATAGGAACTTTTTAGTTATTAAGTTTATTGAAAATTTAATATCTCAGCCATAGAAATTTGAATTTCAATTCATTTTTGTATGAATTAAAACTTCACCTCACTGCACAAGCTAGTGGCTATCTGCATTCACTAGCTAAGTGGATAACCAGATGACGTTAACAGGTTCGAGTCCCGGAGTGAATATCAAGTACATCCAGATGACGAGTCCCGGATAGGGCGAAATGTGCGTCCTGGATTCCACTGTTAGCCACCATCCATCTTTGCCTGTTTAAATTTTAATGTTTATGTAATGTTTGTTTATTATTTCTTGTTAGGTTTCCAATAGGCTTAGTGACTAATTAAAAATTTCCCATATAAACATTTGTGCCTTAAATACCTAATTTTTTTATTATGGGGCTGATTAGCATCCATATACTCAAATTTATAGTTAGTTATTCATGACTGATAGTCAATCTTATGAAGGCTCTTATAGCTTTGTTATCATTGTTACCAGAATAACCAGATCTTACTCAACTTGATTACGCATTAAGCACTTATCACGGACCCAACTATTAACCTGCTTGTTGCTAATGATTATGGAATATCAAAATATATTATTATTATCCACAAAACCTATACTTAAAAATTATCATCATTTTGTCGATTAGATGGGATCAGATCAGCATTGGAATTCAGGATGTGATTTTTGTCCTATTTCGTACTCATCAGCCGGATGTACCAACACGAAACGTGCACCCTGAATCCTACTGCTAGTTAAATTCTTTCTATCTTATAAAAACTCGTTACTAATCGAAACTAATAATATAATAAATAGTTATTTTCATGTTCATAAAACAAAAAGCTGATCCTTTCATATGTCCACATAAAAGTCACTGAATTCAATTTAAAGTTAATTTACATCCACTAAACCACAATGGACGTATTTCAAAACCTTAAATACTTATTTTTAAAGCATATTAAGTAAAACAAATATTCATTACATTATAGACTAAACGAAATTTTCTTTAAATTTTATATGAAATAAAAAATCATCCATTATATATATACCAGTTTCGTGAATTGGTTCAAGTTAGACATTAACACTCGTTGTAAGCCGGCTCTTTAGTCTGGAGACTAAGCATTTGTGCTCGAGACCGAAGGTCCTGGCTTCGATTCTTGTACGAAGGATCACAGATGTGCACTGCTTAGGAGTCCCACACTAGGATGGAACAGCCGGCCAGTGCCTTCAGGTTTTCAATGGTGGTTTAACACTAGTCGATTCATGATCTCAATAACTTTATAGTTTTCACATCATACACAACTGTATTCGGCACATATTCAACTTCTATCACTATTATAATAAATCAAGCTTAATGATTAACATACTAAACGAAACCAGATAACAGCATTTCTAGTGAATGCTTTAATCGGTCGTTTTTCCTAAAATTATTATTATATCTCGTTAAAATATATTTATTAAATTTCATTCAACAAATACATTGAAATATGTGAATTTGTCAATGATATTGTCTAATTTAGCAATTAATTAGGTTAAAATAGTTGTTCTATCACATCAAACTTTAGTGCTAATAATAATAATAATAATAATAATAATAATAATAATAATAATAATAATAATGCTTATCATCAAAGTTTACTTTTAAGTAATCTAACGAAAAATCACCAATGTCCTACTGTTTATTCACCCGCGTTGCTCATAAATTAAATATTTGTTACCGTTTCATTTAATTCATTATCACATTCGTTCTATAATGTGAAATATAACTAATCGATTGGTGAAGAAATATTTTATTATGAAACGATTCATTTTTGCTAACAATTAATTGTTATGAAAAGTCAGTATTCATCGAGAATCTCCTACTTCACCTAAAATATATACTTACTTCGTCTCATGATGTATTCTAGTATTGTATCATGGGTGTTAATATTGTTAGTTCACCCATTATTATGTATGTTATGCTGATTATAAAGCTTAGGTATAATTCAAATAAGATAAAAAGTCAAAAGAACGATTATGAAACTAGGAATGCTTCCCAATCAGCATTACCCGACCGTTGTTGCTACCTTGACGTGGTGGTCGGGCTTGCCTATCGTGATGAAGCGACCGAGCTATACTGGCTGGAACAACCGTTCCTCAAGGTCCTACCATGTCAGACAGGTCGGCTGAAGAGCGGTAAGACTAAAAGCAACAAACCTAAGGTCCGAAGGCGAAGTCATACTGCTGACTGTACAGAGGTGTGACAGCAGTAAGGTGTTTCCTTCAGACAACCAGCATGACAGCGATGCTGCCTTCCCACAAGGAGGGGTGGGGTTAGAAAAGGTCGACCCTAAAAATGCACACCTCGCCTTACCTCACGGATTTCCGTCTCTGGCGGTAAGGCTCTTTAAAGAATGGAGCTAACACGTCAAAAACCTTCCACAAAAAGGCCGTGCGCGACCGGCCTCAAGCAGTTGTCCCTTGGGCACTGCGGTCACGCTCCCTGGTCACTAAGACCACTTCTAATCCGATTTCCTTTACAGGTACCTCCAGAAGAACCCTTCCACGGTGTGGGAAACCGGGAAGTGATAACTGCCCTCATACCTCTAACAGCACTCAAGACCACTGGATTCATAATCAACCTCCCTCTTCAATTCCTATTATTCCTCCTACATCGACTTTCAACCCTAAACTTCCTCCTTTGGCTTCTTCCTCAAGCATCACCATAGCCAACGATTCTAGTGCTCAAAACTCTGTCCCAGGTCTACTGAAACCTCGCTCCAAACTACACATTGGAGCTTTCAACGTACGCACTCTATGTCAAATCGGTCAGCAGGCTTCCTTGGCTAAAACCCTAGAGTCTCTTTCCATCGATGTATGCTGTGTCTCCGAAACACGCATACAGGATTCCAGTGTGGTCATTCACTTGACCTCACCTCGGCAAAACGGAGAGCCAACGAGATACACCCTACGTGTATCTGGTGACCCGATGGCCAGTTCTCGTGGACTGGCAGGTTTGGCATAGCACTAAGCATGAGAGCGGAACAAGCACTGCTGGAGTGGATCCCCACCAACAGTCGTCTATGTGCTGTTCGGCTAAACGGCTCCGTAAGAACTCGGAAGGATAGGGACACACGTCGTTGCCTTTTTGTCGTTTCTGCCTACGCTCCCACTGACTGCAGCTCAGATGAAGTGAAGGATGAATTTTACAGAAAGCTTTCTGAACTTCTTCAGAAAGCTAAACGCTCAGACATAGTACTCGTAGGGGGTGACTTTAATGCTCAGATAGGTAGCTTAAACCAAACAGAAAGGCATTTAGGTGGATATTTTAGCATTCCGGCACAGCGAACAGATAATGGTGATCGTCTGCTGCAACTGTGCTCAGACAATCGCTTATTTTTAGCAAACACAAATTTTAAGCATAAGGAGAGACATCGTCTAACATGGCGACCCCCTACACCAAACCAACGATGGACTCAAATAGACCATATTGCCATCAGTCATCGTTGGAGAGGGTCGGTAGAAGATTGTCGCTCATTCTGGAGTACCTGCTTGGACTCCGACCACGCCCTAATACGGGCACGCATCTGCTTGCGCCTCACCGGACGCAAAAAAGCCACATTAAAAAGACCCATTAGAACTGAATTGAGTAACGAGAAAACCAAAAATAGGTTCCAAGAACAACTGAGTTCACACTTAGGTAGTTCTGAAGACGAGGCTGACCCAGATGTTGCTTGGAAAGACATACAAGTCAAGTGTAAGTAAGATTATATCGGAAAAAGACGATACACTCATCTGCTCCCAGTCCAGGCGTTTAGAACGATGGGCTGAACATTTCAGAGAACAGTTCAGCTGGCCTTCAGCTACTCTACAACTACCCTCCATTCCCAGACAGTGTGAATGGAACATTGAAGTAGGTCCCCCAACTCTTGCTGAAGTTCAAAAGGCTATAGATAATCTGAAACGAGGAAGGGCTGCTGGTCCAGATGGACTGGCTCCAGAGGTCTTTAAGGATGGTGGTCCAATTTTAGCGGTTAGGTTGACTAATATTTTAGCTAAGATCTGGGAGTTAGACGTTATTCCATCTGACTGGTCACAATCACTTATCGTCCCAATATATAAGAAAGGGTCAAAATCATCCTGTGACAACCGCAGAGGGATTAGTTTAACTAATATAATATCTAAAATACTAGCCTCAATAATAATCAGACGCCTAACTAAAACTCGTGAACTGCAAACACGAGAAAATCAAGCTGGCTTCAGACCTGGTCGTGGCTGCATCGACCACATATTCACCATTCGTCAGGTTCTAGAACACAGGCATACTTATAGGCGTCCGACGATGGTGGTCTTTCTTGACTTAAAAGCGGCATTTGACTCGGTAGACCGTGAGATTCTGTGGCAGTGTCTGTCATTGAAAGGTGTACCGCAGAAGTACATAAACCTTGTAAAGGCTCTTTACTCGAACACTACTAGTCGAGTGAGAGCTTATGGCGAACTGTCATCTAGTTTTGCAACCTCAAGTGGTGTCCGTCAAGGATGTCCACTTTCCCCATTTTTGTTTAACTTCATCATAGACCTACTGATGGAAATAACTTTCTCGTCGACCGAGTTCTCGGGTATTGATCTCCTTCCAGGAGGTCCACTTATCGACTTAGAATACGCAGATGACATAGTCCTGTTTGGTGAAGACGCTGACAAAATGCAGAGTCTTTTGGTAGCACTGAGCAACAATGCCAGGATGTTTGGAATGCGCTTCTCTCCCTCTAAATGCAAGTTGTTGCTTCAGGACTGGTCTGCGTTAACACCTGAACTAAGGATAAGGAGTGAAGTAGTCGAACGCGTTGACAACTTCACTTATCTTGGAAGTCTGATCAGCCCTAATGGGTTGGTATCGGACGAAATCTCAGCACGGATTCGAAAAGCTCGTTTGGCTTTTGCCAACTTACGTCACCTGTGGCGAAGGCGAGATATCCGTCTATCAATAAAAGGACGAGTATACTGCGCGGCAGTCCGTTCTGTTTTAATTTACGGAAGCGAAACATGGCCATTAAGAGTAGAAGACACTCGTAAGCTATTAGTATTTGACCACAGATGCCTTAGAAATATTGCTGGCGTCTGCTGGGATAACCGGGTAAGTAATAGTGAGGTTAGACGCAGGGTATTAGGAAATGATGGTAAATCAGTTGATGAGGTTATGAATCTTCATCGACTGAGATGGTTGGGCCACGTGTTACGTATGCCTGAACACCGATTACCACGACGTGCAATGCTATCCGGTATTGGAAATGGTTGGAAGAAAGTTAGAGGCGGTCAAACCAAAACGTGGCATCAGTGCTTGAAGTCACTAACTTCTAGTCTGAGCCATGTTGGTAGATGCAGACTACTTGGTTGGGGTCCGCGTGACTATCGTAACCAATGGTTGGAGACTCTTGGTGACATGGCTCAGAATCGATCACAATGGCGTCGGTGTATACACTCCCTGTCTTCACTTAAACTATGAGATTAAAATCGCTTCATATCTTTCTTTCTACGAACCAATTCTTTCTGCTTGTACTATATCTCTATATGCAATATTTCTCTTATATATTACCACCTTATACCTAACCACTGTTATGAATCTGGTGTTCATCTTGTTGTGTTGATGCGGTATGGCAACCTGGACCGATGCACATATGTGCCTGGTCCTACGTTGTAGCTGACTGACTGACTGACAATCAGCATTTGCTATCAATATACGTAAATTATCAGGTTTACAAGACATTATAATTAAGACGTTATCTGAAAATTCCCTTAAAAAGTATTTTCATGCATAATAGTGGTAACAAGTTGCCCACTTCAACTATACCATATTTAAAAGACACCTGGAACTTAATCCTGAAAACATCAGTCCTTTTATTGACTTCAGAAATATGAAACTTAGTTCAAAGGAAAAAGTCAAAAATTTATGCGACCCTGATTTAAATGAATATGAAGAGTATAACAGTATTCATTTCATAGAAACAAAGTGATGAGAAATTCAGAGAAATGATTCATAATGATGATGTACTACAATGAAAACAGACATTTTATAGACATTGGTAGATAGTTTTAGTTTATATTAAAAATGACCCATCTTAAAATAGAAGAGAAAATATCTATTTGTTACTAGTCTTCAAGTGTTAAACAGTTAAAATCATTAACTTGTAATCAGATCACATACAATCGAGCCAAATTATATTCAGATATTGTTTTCATTTAAGCAAACTTAAACAAAACTATTCTTGAATATATAACAGAAAAATGATAAGTATATCAGTATTAAAAACATTATTTCAGTGGAGAATATCAACAAAATAGTGTTGAATTAATTTACTTCAATCATCAGAATTAAACTAGGATAATATTCACTTGATCAATAAACTGTGAATAACATGTTCTTGATGTTATTTGATATAAAAACACTTTAAATATGTTACAATTTTAGCTCAAGATTATATTTTATGCATGAAAAAAAATATTCAGAGAACTACTATTTTTATTGACCATTCCGAATCGCTCAAGATCTGAATATTTATAAACGTATATTTTATTGAATATCCATGTTTGCAAAGTATATCATGAAAAGATTCTTCATTTTAACAACATTATTTCTATAAATCACTCATTTATTTCCCATCCTCAATACTTAGATGATAACATTAATTAAGGAACGATTTTGTTGAGTTGGATGATATCAACCACTGTATGTTGTGTACCAATCTTGCAATAAAGATATAACGATATCAAATAAAATTGTGAATAGACTTATTATATGATTAATAAGAAAATTCTATTCTCAAATGTAAACAGGGTTGTTTCATTTTTTGTTTAATAAGATTTCTTTAATTTAATAAAAAAAATAAGTGATTTGATTGATTTTTACTGTGTGTATGTTTAGTTGCCAGCTGTTTCAGTCTAAAAATTGACAAACTCAAATTGAGATCATACTGTTTATCTTATCAAAGTTACTGACTAATCTATTCAGACGCCTATTATTTTATCATCTATGGATGTTACGATATGAAGCAACTATATGATAATAGTGCACCTTACTTACATAAATTCAGTTCCATTAGTATAAAAAGTATAAGATGTAGAATAACTTATTATAGACAATTGTCCTGAGGTGCAAGTATTTAATGCCATGCTTAATAGCAACAAAATTAAAATACTAAGAAAAAACACTCAACCTCTTATGCTCGCATTACGTATGATCTGTCTTTAAATAATCAATTTTTTCATACAAACCATTGTTGTACTAACTTTTAATTAAATTTAATAAATAACTAACTGCTTCACGATTAACTAAGCCTTGCATTTATAAGTAATAATCCCATTTCTTTTCTGTAAATTTATGCTATGTATTTGTATATTATAGCAACTCATATGCATACTATGACCAGAGAATTGAGAGAAAGATTGTCTAAAATGCAACTTGGAGGAGGAACTGGTCTTAAATCAGTGCCTATACCCTCCACAACACTTGATAAACCTGATCAAAGGTTATCAAAATATGCATCCAAGGAAGAAGTTGCAGAATGGTTGGTAGCTCATCAATTCTCGCCAAAGTAAGTGCCCAAACATAAAAAAATGAACTTAAGATGTAAAAAAAATTTCCCAAGAAAGATAATGTATAAAATTCCTGATAAATATATTTGTGTTCAAATTATCCATAATATCAAGTGTTTATCAATAATTTCTTTTAGTTTTCACCTATAACGCTAGTAAGGTTACCAAATAGGCGATCGATGATCTTAATGTTAAACAAGAGAAAAAACCATCTACTAATTTGTCAAAATCCTAAACAGAATAAATTGTTGTATACGTGTTTAGATCCCAACCGTACAACCTTCAAATGCTCTTTCAACTAAATGATAATTCTTAAATTTTTAAATATTATTTAATTTAGATTAGCAAACGACCATATCTCAGGAACTGTTTAAAACAAACATTGTACTACATTAGATTAATTCAAACCTTCCTAAGCATAAACATTTACAGTGACTCAACTTAAGTGAACTTTACCAAATGAAAATAGTATATTTCTTACAGTTTATACAATAAGATCTTCGAAAGTCACTCACTGTCGAAATCATTTAATATTTTTGTAATAACATTAGGGTCTTCTCCAGATTTGTATGAATGAATTATTAGAAATATATCATGTATATTCCGTCATTTAACTACATTCTTGAAATGTAATTTGGTAAAATATATCTAAAAATTTCTAATATATACACAAAACTATAGCTCATTTAGATAAATGTATCATAACTCTGAAGTGATTTCTATTTACGTTACATGTATTAAGAAAATAAATATATAGTTGTACAAAGGTAGTTATATTGCAAATATCTTCGTAAGTACAGTTTAACATGTTAGCTAAATGTTCTCTTTGCATTACTCTTATAATCTTCATTAAAACAGTGAGATGTAAAAAAGAATATCAATGGAAGTAAATTAATTTCCACTATGTAAAATGGATAAATACTCACATATAAATACTGTTTATTACTTAGCAAAGTTTTGATAAAAATTAGCAAACATTGGTATCCAATTTGTATAGCTATTACAAAGATAATTAAATTATATGAATAAACTACTTATAATCACTTATTTATAATAAGCATTTTACTTTTTTCCATATGCATGCATATTAAACCAATGTTGTAAATATGTTGTTAGATTAAGTGATTTTATACATTAGAAATTATAATAAAACTAGCAACTGCTTAGGACTACAAGTGATGTAACCTTTATGAATGATATCTTGTCCAAAACTCTTGAAAATATTGTCGTAAATGTAACTATTTTCGAAATGAACTGATACTGCTCTTAACATACATTAAGTTTTCCTATTTAGGATTAGAATCCTGAATTAAAGAGAATATCAATACACTAGTAAATGATTTAATTTATTATTCATAGCAATTTATTATTTATATGAATACAAACGACTTATTAATGGTGATAATGTGTATTTTACTTATAGTTTATCAGAAATTTATGATTTACTTTTGCAGAGCTATATCTGCTTTGAAAGGATTTAAAGGAATGGATCTTTATACAATGAATCGAACCCAATTAGAGCAACATGTTGGACCAGAGAGATGCGATGAACTATTTTATGCATTCCGAGGCACCTAATTCAATTTCAATAATTATTAAATTAATAATTGTGTAAGTAATAGTTGTTCTAACGTTAATTCACTTTTTTTTTAATGCCCTCACATATATTATTGATAACTGCTACTGGCCTCATTGTTATTGTGTGGCGCATATGTACTTGGTGCCTTCTTATACCAATGTTTATGTGTTCAAATAAACAACAAATAAATAAATACAATAAAAACCGAAAGGGTGGATTATTTAACCGTATTATAAAATCAGAATTATTTTTAAAAGTGATAAATGATTAAGAAATTAATTCAAAGGCGATGATATTTATACTAACATTATTGTTAACGAATGAGTTGAAATAGATTGTTAAGAGATTGATAGATTAAATATCTGGCTAGGGGAATTGAAAGGTTTTGATGAGAAAAAGTATCATGAGTACCTACGTAAGAAGTAGTGGCTCAGTACTTACAGCGTCTAACCTTCATCCACTAAGTTCCAGGTCCAAAATCCGCCCTACCTGCTTCAGTTTGGGCAACCGGGTAGTATCGCTAGCCCTGACGAATGAATAAATAGGAACGAAAAATAACAATTTTTGAGTCGGAACAAAAAGACAATTTCAGAAAGAAAGCGAAATAATAAGTAACTTTTATGTGACAGATGGAACTATTCCTCGATACTAATAAGTAAGGTAATAAGAGAGGTTGTAAAAACTTCTTTTGAATACAAAAATTAGGTTTGTGAAATACAGATCTCAATGGCCTCACTCACGTAAACCGTGAGAGAAACTAGGTTGGATTTGGTAAGTCATTACATATCAATTGTCTAAATTGTTTTAATAATCTGAGTGACTGAAGTTTCAATCATAGATTATTCAAATACAATCTTAACATTTATTGTCTTTTATATACTCCGGCCCCAATTTATGTCAAACTGTTCGTCCAAATTTCGACCACTAGAGTTTTGTTAGAATTCACCCAATGCCCTGTATCTATCAAGCAAACAACTTTAGAGATCCTAATAACCTGAAACTACTATTTCCCTAATCATCAAGGATATTGTTTTGGAATTTAACGACTGACTTATTCAGTTGTGCCCCCAATATAAAGAACGCTATGAGAAGTGTTCATATGGAGGTGAATTCAGGCAGTATCTTTTTTAGAATTAGCAAGATCTGTTGGCTCTTTATTTATTGTGTATACTCTGTTTTAACATTTCATCCAACCTGATATCTAGAAACGATATACTGTTATTTTATTCTTCGTCTAAATTGAGCGTTATGGGTAGGTGAATTAATATCACTGAACTTACCATATGTATTATCCACATCCTTTTTTTCTGTAAGTACCATGAAGGTACAATCTATGCAGCAACAATGAAACTGTAGTTTGTCGTTTACTTCTTTAAAAACAGCCCATTTTCAGGTTACCCCAGATATATGTTCTGGAAGTGAACCCAGTGGTAACCTTATAGCTACTATATCTCAGTGTATTATGGTGATATGTTCTCTTAGCTAAACGGTTTAACTGAAAAATTTCCATTACCGTTCTCAACATCTCGATAAACCATCAGAGGATCAACACCAAAAACAATTACCAGGATACTGAAGCCCTTTGGAATACACATAAACAGCACAACCACTTCATTCCACTAATTCTACGCAGACCAAGAGGTGCAACGGCACAGGAAGTCAAATACAGCATTATTTACAATAGAAATAGCCAAACTACTAGAAATATCACATTCAACAGATTGAACGCCCTTTTTATCTATAAACAAATCAACAAAGATGGGCGGCCAAGATGTCCAGGATGATAATGAAAGCAATTAAACCATCTAAGTCAAGAAAAACATTTTCACCAAAAGCATCCGCCTGAACTGCAAATCTCTTCTATCATTCCAATGCCTGTAAACTTCACTGTTGGATTAGATGGACATACTCATTATTCACCTGGCGATTGACTTATAACGGAGATAGAGGAATCTTGACTTGTTTGACGCCCAATAAGCTTAATGCATATGAAGCAGTGTTTCCAGTTAAGAAAAGTTGGTGAATAAGGATGACACAACTGGCAATACCATTAATTTATTTTTGACTATTAAACTTACTATCCAAAAATCTACGGTTGTTTATTTATTTATTTGAAAACATAAATATTGGTACAAGGGAGAATCAGATATATATGCGCCACACAAAACAATGAGGATGGGAAGACAAAAGAAGGTAAGGAGCGTAAAAGGGGAAAAGAAAAACAATAACGACCACAGATTAGTGTATGGTAGTGTAATATTAATAATAATGGGGGAAACCGAAAGGTACAACTAGAAAGGATATCTTCAGTTTAGGAAATTACAACCACTTTTTATGAAGAAAGTAAAAGAAGGTTACAGCAAGATCGCCACCGGCTTCTACTCTGAGCCATATCTGATAACGTCTCTAGCCACTGTGTAGCACAATCTCTCAGACCCCAACCAGGGAGTCGTGAAGGACCGACAGAAGCCAGTCCATTGCAGCTTTCTTCCATACCACGACACCATTTCATGCACTGACCACCTCTCCGCTTTTTCCAATCAGTCCCAGCGTCGGAAAATAATGCACGACGTGGAATTCTCTGGGACGACATTCGTAGAACATGTCCAAGCCACCGAAGTCGGTGTTTCAAGATGGTGACACCAATTGAATTATCATCTCTGTGCCCGAACACACGATGCCGAACCTCTGCATTACTGACATGGTGTTGCCACTGGATATCAGCAATCCTTCGGAGACAGCGACGATCGAACACAGAAAGTTGTCTAACGTCCTCAACTCCGAGAGGCCAGGTTTCACAAGCATAGAGCAAAACTGCTCTCACCGACGCGTTGTAGATCCGAACTTCTACAGCCAGACTAACATCACGAAGGCGCCAAAGATGGCCCAGATTGGCATAAGCCGCTCTGACTTTCACTATACGTGCATTAATCTCATCACTCACACCACCACCAGCACTTATGCAGCTACCCAGATACACGAACTTATCGACTACTTTTATCTGCTCACCATCCAGGGTGAGTACAGGATTGGAATCCTGCCAGTCTTGTAGAAGTACTTTGCACTTCGAAGGTGCAAAGCACATACTATACCTACGGACACTGATTGCCAACTGATTAAGTGCGGATTGCATGCCTTGGGCATTATCGCACAGTAAGACAATATCGTCCGCATACTCAAGGTCGAGAAGTCTTTCTCCAGGCAACAGATCCACACCACCATTACTTACATTCATCAGAGCTGTTTCCAGAATGTCATCGATGGCAAAGTGGAAGAGGAATGGTGAGATTGGGCAACCCTGCATAACCCCACTGCTCGAATGGAACAATAGAGAGAGGTGGTTGTATGCCCTCACTGTACCTGAAGTGTTTGTATATATGGCCTTTAAGATGTTAATAAACTTCTCAGGCACACCCTTCTTCAATAGACAATCCCAGAGTACAGTCCTGACCAATGAATCGAAGGAAGCCCTGATGCCAAGAATCACTACGATTGTTGGCCTTTGATAAGTATGACAGTGTTCTAACATTTGGCGGAGGGTGAAAATATAACCAATACATCCTCGACCAGAATAAAAACCGGCTTGCTCCTTGCGAGTCAATCATTCTTGGGTTTTGAACAACCTACGAAGTATGATGGAAGCCAATAGTTTGGACGCAATCGGAAGTAGACTTATTACCCGATAGTTGTTACAGGAACGACGTGAACCCTTTTTAAAGATAGGGACAACTATCGACTTATTCCATGACGTTGGTACACTCTCTAACTCCCAGACCTTTGTAAACAACGTCTTCAGTTCCTTAGCCAGAACGTCATCACCATCTTTAAAAAGAGCCGGAGGTAGGTTGTCTGGGCCCGGTGATTTGTAGCGCTTCAAGAGTTGGAGTTTCTTGTGAACTACCGCCTCATTTGGTGGATCAGTCGTCACCGGTCATGGAGGTCAGGACAGTCTGACCGATGTTGACGGAGCAGCAAACCAGTTGGACTGCCCTTCGAAGAGTTCCGCCCATCGTTCAAGACGTCGATGGATGTTAGTAATTGGCATCCCGTCATCCTCACAGATTGTTCCGCTCACACCAGACTTCTTGCTGTCAGTGGCTCAGATGAGTTGGGAGAGCGTCCGTTAGTTACCAGATTCAGCTGCTGCTTCCAGCTCATTAGCACGCTCCGACCACCAGGCTTCTCGGACCTTACACAAGCTTTGCCCGATTTCATTACGTAAAAGTCGTCGTTTGTGGTCAAACTCACGGTCACCGAGAGTAGACCGACGGGCTTCGATGAGTTGTAAGGAGCCTGAAGAAACACGATGCTTATAAGCGAGACATTTTGCGAAGCCGCAAGCGGCCTTACTCGCCATTTTCATGGCGTCATGAAGTTGCAACCAATGCTCATCTATACTTTTTCGTGGTATAGTAGCTAGCCTAGAAGCTAGCTCGGTTCGATACTTACTAGCAACAGAAGTCGCAACCAGCTTGCTAACATCAATCCGTTGGTGACGATCAATTCGTTGGCCACTGAAAAGTAAGGTAAGATTGGCGCAGACCAGGGCATGATCAGAGTCCAAATAGGTACTACAAAAGGAGCAGCACTCTTGTACACAACCGCGCCAGCGGTAGCTCGTGGCGATATGATCAATCTGAGTCCAGGCTTTGAGACTCAGAGGAAGAACGCTAGGTGGCACATCGGCGATGACTGTGCCGGAAGTTAGTGCTAGCCAAAAACAGATTGTGGTCTGTGCACAGTTGCAGTAGACGGTCCCCGTTTTTTGTCCTGCGATCAACAATTCCCCATCGGCCACCTAAATGATTCTCTTCTGTGCCTAGACGCCCGACCTGAGCATTCAAGTCTCCGGCTAGTACCACAATATCTGTCGAACGCACATATATGCATCGGTTCAAGTTGCCATACCGCATCAGCACAGCAAGATGAACACTGGATTCATAGGAATGGTTGAGTCAATAGTGGTAATATATAAAAGAAAGATTTCAATAAGGATATAGTACAGGAAGAAAGAATTAGTTCGTAGAAAGAAAGATATTAAGTGATTTTAATCTCTTAGTTTAAGGGAAGACAGAAAGTGTATACACCGACGCCATTGTGATCGATTCTGAGCCATGTCAATCACAGTCCTCAACCATTGGTTACGATAGTCACGCGGACCCCAACCAAGTAGTCTGCATCTCCCAACATGGATCAGACTAGAAGTTAGTGTCTCCAAGCACTGATGCCACGTTTTGGTTTGGCCGCCTCTAACTTTCTTCCAACCATCCCCAACACCGGTTAGCATTGCACGTCGTGGTAATCGGTGTTCAGGCATATGCAACACGTGGCCCAAGCATCTTAGTCGATGAAGCTTCACAACCTCATCAACTGATTTACCATCATTCCCTAATACCCTGCATCCAACCTCACTATTACTTACCCGATGATCCCAGCAGACGCCAGCAATATTTCTGAGGCATCTGTGGTCAAATATTAGTAGCTTACGAGTATCTTATACTCTTAATGGCCATGTTTCGCTGCCGTAAAGTAGAACAGAACGAACTGCTGCTTAATATACTCATCCTTTTATTAACAGACGGACATCTTGCCTTCGCCATAGGTGACGTAATTTGGCAAAAGCTAAACGAGCTTTCCGAATTCGTGCTGAGATTTCGTCAGACACCAACCCATTAGGGCTGATCAAACTTCCAAGATAAGTGAAGTTGTCAACGCGTTCGACTACTTCACTCCTTATCCTTAGTTCAGGTGTTGACGTAGACCAGTCCTGAAGCAACAACTTGCATTTAGAGGGGGAGAAGCGCATTCCAAAAATTCTGGCATTGTTGCTTAGTGCTACCAGAATACTCCGCGTCTTCTTCTGAAGAACAGATAACTTGTGGTAGAATCCATCCTTGATTGCATCCGGGCTGCAATCTGTCGGCGCGTAGGCGGAGATGACGAAAAGACATTGTTTCTCACGCCGATTTCTTCTCACTTTGATGGAACCTTCTAATCTAACATCACACAACCGACTATTAATGGGGATTCAATCGATTAGTGCTGCCTCAGTTCTAGCGCTTGGTGCGACACCAACGCCAGCAAGACCAGACGAACATATCACAGGGTCCCAGGATAAACGCATGTGAAACAAGCTTTTTGAAGCGACAGATGGAGAGCGAATTTGTAGTACTTCACCAGAGTCTTGAATACGGGTCTCGGATAGACAACAAACGTCGATATTAAGACTTTTCAAAGACATAGCCAACCCTATCTGTTTTCATATGTGCATTAGTGTGTGAACGTTGAAGGCAGCCATTTTGAATGGTGCACGTAGTTTCAGAAAAACTGTTTCGGTACTCATACTCGGTGATAGCATTCAATTTCTAACCAGCCAGTGACTCGAGATTGTTTAGATAGAACAGAGTTTTCACCATAGGTGAGCTGCTGCATAAGTTGAATGATGAGAATACACAAAGTGGGGATAAAAGAGTGAATAAATGACGTAGTAAGTAATAATAGTAATAATGTGAATTGTTTGACTTTCAATCGAAGCGTGAACAGTATTTTCGGTGAATATCGTCATTTCTTTTATTTGTGTGTGGGCTGTGATACTGCCCGGGTGCCCAGACCGAAGCAGGTGGTTTTCTTATGGGGCCACACCCCAAGCCTTTGACCTAAAGGTCTGATCCACAACGCAGCGGAGCATCGTAAAGAGGTGCAGTCCCATGGTAGCCGGTGACCAACGATTGGTTCACACGCCACTCGTTCCTTTAGGATACTGGAGCCCATGTGCGCCATTAGTTTGGAATCAGGTTTTCCCAACTCCCCTAGGTGAAATTACCGTGTCCACCGGCCTGGTTAAAGCGCCGGAAATTCTCGTTTCGTCCTCTCAATTTCCTAAACAACACCCCCGCCACGAGAAGGCAGTGAGTAGGACTCCCCTGGCAGAGGCTGTATACGCGTGGCCGTGTGAGAACATTTTGAGTAGAAACGCGGCCCCCCACTCTCGGTCGTACCAGGGCATTTGTGGGTTGTTTACAGTATACTTGACAGTTTCTTTCTGAAATGGCTTTAAGAGTTGTATCAGGCATTTTTTTTCCGTCACATAATGAGGGGAATCGGTTGCATCTAAAACAAATTGGAGTGGCAACCACTTTCATATACTCTAGATAAACCATAGAGTATAGGTGTTATTGTACCTGCAGACCTCAACATCTCGTTCAAATTTAGTCTTTCTCAACAACTCCGCGAGGTGCTTCTAATCTTATGTCACATTATTATTGATTAACAATTTGTTTTATTTTGCCTATACAACAACATATTTTTTCGGCATAATCGTCCCCATCCAATATAACTATACCTAGACCTTGGTGATAGTGGAACGGTGGCTCAGCGCTTAATGCATTCGAATTTTAGTCGCTGAACCCCAGATTCAACCCCCACTCCGGTTTGAATAACCAGGTAGTGTCACTATCCCTCGCACCTAGTGTGTAAGTTTGATGTATAATACTTGTTGATATTTCTTGTACTATCAAGTTACCAGACTGATTGCCTGGGAACACGTATAATTAACCTAAAATATTCTAAGACTAATTAGTTTATTTATACTACTTTTATTTACTTTTTGCAGGTAAACTGTTCATATCAGAAGCTTAGCAAAATCTTCAAAATCCAGTCTTTTTTAATCCTTCTCTCTGTTTTGATCACCATGTTGATTAGTGACCATTAGTTTGAGTTAATATGAATGATTCCTAACAGCATTTCGGAAAATTTAGAAACCAGTCTTTATTAACAATATTATTTCCCATGAATCAATGCCGAATGAGGTACTAAAATACAGTTCTTTCTCGAAACTTATACGTAACCTACTTATACACCTGTTTCTATGTATTGATATTTCTAATGCTATATTTGTGAATGAAGGTTGCTTTTCAAACAATAATTTCCTGTTTTATTACATTTGGTTTATATTTATATATATAGAACAGCACAACTGCAACATGATTACATTTTGTTCATGTAATCAGAATATCTGAAGTTTACTATCAAAAAATGATCACGTTACTTTTATACATTTTATTGATTATTTTGTCAAAGTTATAAGTTTTATTTGCACAAGGATTTAAGAACGTCCGGTGTGAGAAAACCGCGGAAAAGCTCCAGATTCGTTGTGAAATGAATCATTTCATTTTCGGAGTATTTAATCCATATTTTGCCTTCAATCGATCTAATTCTTCTTTCTTTTTGTCTACATCAGTTTTCTTGAATTGCTACAAAAGGAATGAGAAGCCGTTAAGAGCAACCAAAAAATATTATGTACATACGTATAGTTATAGTTAAAAAGAACCTGATATTTATACACGAACCCAAAGACTACAGGTTTTGATTGAAACAGTTGAAGTTAACCCGCTTAACAAGCATAGATTCATTTACTATGTCAAACACATCAATCAAGTGAAACTGGTTAAATAGGTCGGAGTAATGCAAGCATCAAAAAACCGTCTAGCTCGTTCAATATTTTCGCCTTAACTATATGGTACTTATACTGGACAGAAAACCCGGTATGCCCTTATACTTATTATCAAAAAGCTCTGGACTAAAGGATGCTTTGATATCGGCTGATTTGTCGGTGTTGCATTTAAATTCTTAAACAGTATGAAGACTATCATATTACCCTGATGTTTTACGGCTGTATAAATTTTATAGACAAATAATTTTTCTTTACGTCATCATATGGAAATATGCAAATCAATATAAAGCATGATAACAACACAATAAAGCAATACGGAATACCTTGTTTCTCTGGTAGTACAGAACTACGAGATATCGGTTACAAACGTTAAAGCCACTGAGGTGATCACAAGCGTTCTTAGCGTCAAAAATGTCTTCATAGATAACCAGAGCAGTTCCTTTCGTTTCAGGGGTGTTGCCGATGCGAATTTGACGGATAGCACCGTACTTGCCGAAAATATCATACATTTCTTCCGCTGATATGTTATAGGGTAGGTTTTTCACCAACAAGATCCTATTTACCTCTGGAGGTAGACGAGTCTAACGATCAAATTCAAAAAGAGCATTACTAGTTTTTGAGAAAATTGTATTTTGATCCAAATATCATAGATAAGGTCTTCTCACTTTAATATGGATGTCAATATCTCTCTAAACGAAGACCACTGTTAAATTAGCATTTTTAAAAATTGCCAACTTTAGTGATACTGCCTTTTTGTAGAAAAGATGACTTAGAAAACTTAGGTCCTAGAGAGGCCAGACACGATTGGTTTGCTACTGAAATATGAATACAGAGGAGCCACCTAGGTGAATTGAAAAATCCGGATTCCAAACCAATAGTGCACATGAATGCCAGGATCCTAGGGAATAATGGTGTATCGGTCATCAGCTAACATGGGATCGCATCTTCTAACGATGCTCCACCACCTTGTGGATTGGACCTCCGCATCAAATGCCCGCGAAGTAGCTCCATAAGGTAACCATCTGCCTTGATCTGAGCATCAGGTTTGTATACTAACCCGTTCACTAGCTAAATTATGAATACAACTACAATAACTACTCGCACTTTAATTCTCATCCCCCCAAATCACACAAAACTGCTTATTAATACTTATTTTTATTTTACATTATGTCACTTGTCTATTAGTTTATACCCATTTTGTACATTCCTTTATTCTTCAACTCCCATAGCAGCTCGCCTATGGTGGAAAATCTGTTCTATCTAAACGATCTTGGGTCACTGATCAGTCGAAAGTTGAGCACTACCATTGAATATGAAATCTGAAACAGCCTTTATGAAACCACGTGTGCCATTCAAACTGGTCTCGTTCAACGTTCGCACACTAATGCAGATCGGACAACAGACAGGGTTGGCTATGTCTTTAGAAAGTATCAACATCGATGTCTGTTGTCTATCCGATACCCATATTTAAAACTATACTAAAGTACTACAAATTTGCTCTCCTTATGTCATTTCGAGAAGCTTATTTCACATGCGTTTACCCGGGGACCCTGTGACACCATCTGGTTTTAGTTGCATTAAGCACTAGAGCTGAGGCAGCACTAATCGATTGAATCCTCATTAATAGACAATTATGCATTGCTAGGTTGTTGCTACCTTGACGTGGTGGTCGGGCTTGCCTATCGTGATGAAGCAACCGAGCTATACTGGCTGGAACAACCTTTCCTCAAGGTCCTACCATGTCAGACAGGTCGGCTGAAGAGCGGTAAGACTAAAAGCAACAAACCTAAGGTCCGAAGGCGAAGTCGTACTGCTGACTGTACAGAGGTGTGACAGCAGTAAGGTGTTTCCTTCAGACAACCAGCATGACAGCGATGCTGCATTCCCACAAGGAGGGGTGGGGTTAGAAAAGGTCGACCCTAAAAATGCACACCTCGCCTTACCTCACGGATTTCCGTCTCTGGCGGTAAGGCTCTTTAAAGAACGGAGCTAACACGTCAAAAACCTTCCACAAAAAGGCCGTGCGCGACCGGCCTCAAGCAGTTGTCCCTTGGGCACTGCGGTCACGCTCTCAGGTCGCTGAGACCACCTCTAATCCAATTTCCTTTTCAGGTACCTCCAGAAGAACCCTTCCACGGTGTGGGCAACCGGGAAGTGATAACCGCCCTCATACCTCTAACAGCACCCAAGACCACTGTATTCATAACAGCTAGGTTAAAATGTCCCATCAGAGTAAGAAGAGATCGGTGTGAAATACGATGTCTTTCCGTTAATATTCGCCTACGCCACAACAAAATGGACCTCGGATGCAATCAAGGATGAGTTTGACTACCAGTTAAATGTTCTTCTACAGAAAGTGTGTTCGACAGATATTTTAGTACTAGTTGGAGACTTGAATGCACAGGTAGGGTGTCTAGGTGCAGAAGAGTCGTTTAGGTGGCCAATAGGGACTTGTTGCTTATTAGATAACAGTAACTGCCTGCTGCAACTTTGCGCAAACCACAATTTGTTTCTGACCAGCCTTAACTACCAGTACAGTTATCATTGATGCTGTCCGGCTGCACCTTAAACCTGAAGTCAGACTGATCACATCGCGACTAGTTACCGCTGGTGTGGTCGTGTACAGGACTATCGCTTCTTTTGAAGTACCAATCTGGACTCTTATCATGCCCCTGTTTGAGTTTATCTTGCTTTTCAGTGTCCAGCAAACTTAGTCTAAAACGGATCATTGTAAGCAAATTGGCTACAGCATTTGTTGCGACTATATATCAAATCGAGCTAGGTTTAATGCTAACTATCGACCCACAAGAAACTACAGATGAATATTAGTTGAATTTGCATGAGGTCAAGAAAATAATAGTCACATGCGGTTTCGCGAAAAGTCCCACTTATGAGTGCTAAGTTTCTACAGGCTCCTTAAGACCCCAATGAGGGGCATCGGACCACTCCTAGTAACCGCGAGTTTGACGACAAATATAGATTCTTAGGTAACGAAGCTGTGCAAAGTTTGAGCAAGGATTGATAAGCCTGGTGGCCCTATATAAAAACACCTCAGGCAGAGTGAGGGCATACAACCACCTCTCTCTATTGTTCCATTCGAGCAGTGGGGTTATGCAGGGTTGCCCAATCTCACCATTCCTCTTCCACTTTGCCATCGATGACATTCTGGAAACAGCTCTGATGAATGTAAGTAATGGTGGTGTGGATCTGTTGCCTGGAGAAAGACTTCTCGACCTTGAGTATGCGGACGATATTGTCTTACTGTGCGATAATGCCCAAGGCATGCAATCCGCACTTAATCAGTTGGCAATCAGTGTCCGTAGGTATAGTATGTGCTTTGCACCTTCGAAGTGCAAAGTACTTCTACAAGACTGGCAGGATTCCAATCCTGTACTCACCCTGGATGGTGAGCAGATAAAAGTAGTCGATAAGTTCGTGTATCTGGGTAGCTGCATAAGTGCTGGTGGTGGTGTGAGTGATGAGATTAATGCACGTATAGTGAAAGTCAGAGCGGCTTATGCCAATCTGGGCCATCTTTGGCGCCTTCGTGATGTTAGTCTGGCTGTAGAAGTTCGGATCTACAACGCGTCGGTGAGAGCAGTTTTGCTCTATGCTTGTGAAACCTGGCCTCTCGGAGTTGAGGACGTTAGACAACTTTCTGTGTTCGATCGTCGCTGTCTCCGAAGGATTGCTGATATCCAGTGGCAACACCATGTCAGTAATGCAGAGGTTCGGCATCGTGTGTTCGGGCACAGAGATGATAATTCAATTGGTGTCACCATCTTGAAACACCGACTTCGGTGGCTTGGACATGTTCTACGAATGTCGTCCCAGAGAATTCCACGTCGTGCATTATTTTCCGACGCTGGGACTGATTGGAAAAAGCGGAGAGGTGGTCAGTGCATGAAATGGTGTCGTGGTATGGAAGAAAGCTGCAATGGACTGGCTTCTGTCGGTCCTTCACGACTCCCTGGTTGGGGTCTGAGAGATTGTGCTACACAGTGGCTAGAGACGTTATCAGATATGGCTCAGAGTAGAAGCCGGTGGCGATCTTGCTGTAACCTTCTTTTACTTTCTTCATACAAAGTGGTTGTGTCTCCCTTACCTGAAAGATTTCTTTTGATTGTACCTTTCCGTTCCCTCGTTACTACCACACTACCTTACACCAATCTCTTCGTTATCGTTCTCTTTTTCTTTTGCGCTCCTTAGTTTTTTTTCTATCTCTCTTCGAATTTTCATTGTTTTGTGTGGCGCATATATATTGTCGCTCTCTTGTACCAATATTTATGTGTTCAAATAAATAAATAAATCCAGACTAATGATTAAACTATGTCTTAACATCATATATATGAAAAAGTTACAAACAAACCTATCCTCGGCTTTCTCCTGACTCGAACCTTGTCAATGAATACTTTGTTACTCACTTTGTATTAAAATATTCTATTTGATGATTGACTGTACATTTTCGTGTCGCAGGAGGACATTTTAATATTGCGGGGGAGAACTGGTGGTGACTGACATTCATCTCTAGTCTATTGATCTAACAATGACAGTCCTGAAATTATTATTATTACGTAGTTTGAGGATACAATCCATACTAGATGTAGCTAACGTGTGTTCAAATTCAAACGCCTTACTAAACTTACCAGAATAAAAGTCTTAGCAAAGCATATCACCACTTCCCGGAAGTAAAGTGAAATATACTTAGAACATTTTATTACAAACAGAAGACATAGAGCTGACCCAGTAAACAAAAGAAGTAAGAAACAAACTTACAGCATTCTTGCGTCCTAATGCCATCCCGATGTACCGTCCATAAACGAACTACGCGGCAACCAAATTGTACGATGTCTTCAAAAACGTTTCAAATGGTTCTGGATGGAACCAAAGAAGCTTTTGTTTAACGAGATTCCGTGTCCAGTAGCAGTAAATCACCGACGCCTTCAGGTAAGAGGCTGAGTATATTTGACGATGAAAGAAGAAGTAATTAGTAAATTATAGCGAGAGACTGTCCTTAGTGCATAAAAATATGTCACGTTTTCACTCAAAGGACTCCTGTAAAGTCACTTGGACTAGCTCATTCGGCAAATAATTCTAGAATTTGGCTGCTCCCAAGGATTAGAAGGTGTGACTACAGTCGGTCTTTCCATATTGTCTCCAGCTTCTCGGCGTTAACCCTAACGTTTGTGTTAGGACTAAGCTTAAGTGGGTGTTCAGGGGGATGTTTAGAAGTATTTAGGATGTTCCAAGTCATTGGAAGTTCACCCCTAAGACGTTCATATTATGATGGATGAAGTTTCAGGAATTGGAGGTGCTCTTCATAAGACTTGAATTTTAGTCATCGAACTTATTTCTTGGCTCACCGTTAGATGCGTACCAGTGTATTTTTATTCTTTTGAAGTGAGGGAGGAAACGCCATACTTCCATACTCTAAATAAGGTCAAGTAAAACTGCTAAGGATTAAAGGGGAATTTCTTCAATCAAAGTGTTCTAAAATGCGCTTTGGTGTTACCAGACCACGTTCTGATCAAAAGGCATTTTTGTCGCAGTTAGAGTACGAATTCAAGTTATAGATATCAACACTCCTAGATCTTTTTCATTTTGGGACACCTCTAGAGAGGGTCGTCTAAGTTGTAGTTGTAATCTGCAACATGTCTCAGATGAACTACCTTACACTTTGAAGTGTTAAACGTATGTCCTTTGTTGTCTGCCCAACTTTAAGTCGAGTCAGATCCCCCAGAAGTGCCAGTTTGTCCTCTTGGCTAATGGTAAACCGACGATACCTGCCATAGAAGATCGTTTATATAAATTAAGAAAGGCAGAGGTCCTAGCAGTGAACCCTAAAGGACCCCCCAGAACATTTCATAGCCTGAAAAAATGTGACGTTTACCATGACTTTAAAAGTTGATTATTTAGATGTGTGGTAAGCTGACCAAGAAAAGGTGATTTGGCACCTAATCGTTTGAGATTATTGATAAGACATATATGGTTGACCCCATCAAAAGCTTTTGAGAAGTCAAGGTATTGGACGTCAACCTTCGCCTTGCAATCAAGGATGGTTGTCCATCTGCTCACTGCTGTCAGAAGGTTGTTTATACATGAGTCATCTTTCCCGAGACCGTGCCATTTGGGTAAAAAGAAGTTTAAGGATAGTAAGTAGTCATGTGAACTATCCTATATCAAGGATTCCATAGTCTTTGAGGGTATAGAGAGAAGTGCTACCGGTTGGTAACTTGGGGGTTTGTTACGTCAATCTCCTTTGAAAATTGATGTGATGTGAACCAGCTTCCAAATTCCTGGTAGTAGGCCTTGGCTCAGAGAATGTAAGAATATAATGCTAAGTGATGTTGACAAGATTAAAACTACTCACCGCAGTATATCAGAACAGACCATATCCGGGTCATGAGAAGTGTCCTCATTTTGGCACTACAGTTTCCCATTAACCAGGTTAGAGCTCAGGTTAACTGCTAAGAGTCCTGTTGAGTTGCAGGTGAGGCTTTTATCAACCTTTGTGATGAGCCAACATATATATATATATATATATATATATATATATATATATATATATATATATATATATATATATCAGTTAATTTCTGTACCTCTGTCGCCTGTTAAAGTCTTTTGTAGCGTTCAGTAAACGTAATTTATCCACTTGACTATCTTAGTCCTTTGGAGGTTTCAGATTTGTGCATTGAGGATAAAGACTACATGGTCTAAGTTAGTCCTTTCCTAGTTAACCTCTGAGAGCTTCTAGCCACTCGAGATATCCGTTTCATCCTGTTAACATGGGCTTACAGATTAGATGCAGTTCTTAAGTCCGGATCTCATTAAAACCGTGTATACTGTGGTGAACATACTAGTATCCAACTTGGTATATTTCCATCTTAAAGCCCATTTGACTCTGAACCCTTTGGCTGCAACCACATGGTCTTGTAGAATTATGGTCTACTATGATATTAGTACTTCTCTAATAATAGAACTAATCCTAAAATTGTAGATTCGTCATGATATAACTGCCTAATCTATAAGATCTTACATGGAAGTCACATCATCGTCTACACCAACTCACTGTATCGTAACAATTACTAATACATGATGGAGAACAAGCTTAGGCTAGAGAAAGAACAATATTATTTAACATAAGTAAGAGATATAAGGAAACATTTTTCAGGGACCACACCTGCACGGCCGAGTCATGCCATCCGATCAACTCCAATTAATTCAACTCCTTGTTCCTGCCTTCCCCATAGTTAGGTATTTCCCCGCGTTAAATACTGAATATGTATTTTCCGAGCAGTCTCGTGTTCAGCTTTGAGGATTGTGCGTTTATGGTCCAATGCCATTACAGGTTCATTGTTACCATAAGATCATTGTGAGACCAGAATACAAACACTGACTCTTCCTCAATTTTGTACCTATTCGCTAGTATATTCCCAATATTCATATGGACACACTTGAGCGCGAACAGGCCTTAAACATTTATTAGACCAGATAACCGAAATGACAAAGTTTCGTTGAGGTTTACATGTATTTATGTCTCCCGTTATTTCTTGCCAAATGTTTACACTATAAAGCGTAAATTGGCACCAGTAGCTTGATGATATTCTGGAGTTCATTTAAATACAGTATATAAAGAAGAAAACCTATAACAGAATCTTGCTGTTCTAGTTTCTATGAGGAGCATTTTGGATCCGTTTTTACATTCTACCTATAGCCTGTCAAGAGGTCTTTGATCCGCTTTAGTTGAAGTCCAAGAATTATAAAAAAAATTTGCTTTAAGAGGAGGCTATTATTGGCACCTTATCAGATTCTTTGCCGGGGTCTACTGTGGTGTTTGATTGAACTAATGATACCTTTGTACTTTTTGAGTGCTCGATTTCGAATTCTAATTACAATACATTCGTTTATGTTCATCTAGTATTTCTTGATTCCATTGCGTTATTTCGGGAATTCTTAGTTCATACTACAATTCAAATAATTCGAAATACCAATCTACCTACACAACATTCGCCGATCTTTTTATTGCGCAGAATCTCCGTTTATCTCCTTCTTGCTTAAGGAAGTTTGCTGTGCAAGATAATCTTGTCATAAAACCATGTTGTTTGGTGTTGTTGATTACAACGAAGGTCATTATGGTGCTTCCAGTCATTCACTCCAGCAATTTAATGACGGTACTGGTGAGGCTGGCAGGTCTGTAGTTTGGTCAAGGCCATGTTGATCCGTTTTAGGTTGTCACCAATGGTTTCTACATTTGTCCTGATATTCCTCTATATATTGAGATGCACTCTTTTGACTCAGTCGGGGACCAATATTGTGTACTTGTTCTGTGACATATGAAAGGAAACAGTCGATTACGAATTGTATCAGATTACTGTCATATTTTCGCTGAGATGCCCGGATTGTGCTTATATACTTATCAACAATTGCTTTATCACCAGATAGTGACCAATTTCATGTGTTCCAGGTTCTTTTCAGTGCATATCGAATTCTCTCGATCAAATTTCAATGTAGTCAGTAGTCTGGGTGACTCGATATCCCATCCAACATGTTGGGAGGTATGGTGGTTGTTGGAGACGGTCAAACTGGGGACATAAGTTTTATGCTGTATGCCATTCGACACGATCGAATCCACCAGGAAGCATCAGTTTCCTCAAGATTATAGGTGCACCTAGCTGACGAGTGCAGAACGCTTTCCATAGACAACGTGACAATAACTTACAACTGGCTTGAGTCTGGTTATGATACTACTTGTTGCAGTTGTCGAACCACACTCGATCCTCGACTGGAAAGAAGAATTGGATCTACCACAGCGACGTTTTGTCTGCGTCGTTTGAATTTGTAAGTAGACCCACGGAGAGAACAAGGCAAAAGTTTTTTAAGCACAGAAAAATATGTTGGAAAATGATTTCTAGAAAACTGTCGTTTTGAAAACTCTAGAAATCATAGACACCGTACAAAAATGACCAGTAATTTTGTTGCTGTTACTAAAAATTCGAATTAACTAGGTATGAAAGAAGCTTGTACGAGGTGAGATACAGTAAAAATGATAAGGTTAGTACGAATAATCATAAATATTTCAGGGAATACTTTGACAGCAGTTTAGTGCCTAGTGTAAGGCTAATAACTGTGAGAACTATACTTGAAATAGTCTGAGGGATTGAAATTTAAAGAATTCCAACGTTCCTTCTTGCCATTTTGTTTGAAGTTATTCAAGGTAACACCCAGAGTTAAAATTATCAAAAAATATATGACGTTTAACAACCAAGTCAAATATACACTAAATGCTTCATTAATCATATTCATATGTTGACTATAGTAAGTAGGATACCATGAGTCAGGAAGGTGTGGCGTTAAGTTTATACGGCTTTGTCGAAAACAATTTAATGCAACTTATGTGCCGAGAATCACATAAGTATTTACACTCATACTTGATACTTCTGTAAGGTGATATGAGTTTTAGAACAAATTATTCACATACGGCTAGTTTAGTTTGGCCACTAGAAAACTAGTGTAGAAGAAATGATCGTAAACCATCAGGAGAGTATCCCTCTCCTTATTATTCAAGGCTTTGATAACGCCCCGCCAACTAAACAATTGTCAATATTAAAAAATCGAGATTAGGGGTCATTATTACTGTGGATTATAAAGGTGACTAGGCAAGAATGAATGATTGAACAATTCTTGTTAATAACTTTTATTCTCAGACTTCATCCAACTTATACATATCTCACTATTCATTGTGGGATAGTTTGTTTAAATTGTTATTTTTGTCTCCTGCACTAAATACACTTGGTCGTTTGATTCTCGTTCAAAAGGCACACATACTTCTATTGCCTTTCATCATTCCCCTATTCATTGTTACTTAGTTGCCAGGTCACTAGTAAACCTATAGTTTGTAATAAAAGTTACTGTGTCCGTTTTCTCCTAGTTAATATATTACCAAAACATTTAAATGTACATATCTTGGAAGTGACATTTCTTGCATATAAATTTATGAATTTCTTGAACTTTCTCTACACGCAGACTCACAGTGTTCACATGTAGCCTTACATAGTTGTAAATTATTCATTCTCACATTATTTTCGACGATTTATTTACGGTTAAACTTTCATTTTCTGTATCGGATTCATTTGGTTGTATATTTTTATATATTTTTTACCTTGGTCAGTCCATTTAATATACATTTTCATTGTGGACTTCAAAAAGTCATTATATCTCTACACCAGAATTACTCCATCTAGGTGATCTGGCTTAATTTCTGTAAACGTGGTGTCACAGATTAGAATATACATTTGCGCTATGACATTTGCCATCAAGCCGCCGCTACTAGTCGACCTATTCACTCAAAACCGCGACGCTAACTACTTGAGGAACTAATCTTGGAGTAAATAGTACCTGAGTATATGATTCTGCTTGCTATCATTTGACAGTACAGAGGTTCTTGGGCCTTATTCTCACATATGTTGGCAAAGATAGGCCACAAGTAACACCTGTGAGGTATTTGTCGCACCAACCACTGAACATCAGTCGGACAAAATTTACTATAAATTCATTGTTGGTTGACTGTGATGGAACGGTTGGACATACATTCAGATTTTGATGCTTTTGAGGATTATATGGAAAGGTTCAAAATCTAGACTATGACCGAGGAATATGTTGAGGATGTTAATAGTATGGCTCATTAACTTACATTTATCGGAAAAAGGCATACAAGTTAATAAAGACTGATATTTCCAGAAAAGCCTATTTTGCTTCCTTATGCAGCTCTCAAGGAACTACTACTAGACCTTGTAAAGCATAGGAATTCCGAATGCTATAAAGGAGGAAAAATTCATTAAATGATTCATCAGCACATCGAAAATTCCACTACATTACTATGTCATCCCAGTCCAATGCGTACTCAAGGTTATTCAAATAACTGAAGATGATACAGGTATTCAGTGTTTGACAACGCTTCTACCAGTAACACCTTCTAATATTATTTGTACCCACCGAGAGAAATCAAAAGACAGAGTCGAGGAGATCGGAAGAGTGTATTTGGCGATTACCAATATATCGGAATTCTCTGATCTAATCTGGCTAACGATTGAGATAGGTGTTGAGCACAGCGTTACCACACGTGATCTGGTGCGGATGCATGACCGAGCGCCTTCAGCTAGATGAGTCCAATAAAACACATGGTCAGCATCCAATGTCGAAAACTTACAAAGCTATTTAGTTTGCGGATTTATTTACCGCTACATAACAATTCATTGAGGAGTTGCGATGCAGGTCCCGAAGATGGGCACAAGTTTGGTAAATGTTTGTCCTGTGGCATTTTTCACCTATTTAATTCAAATGTCTTTCACAATCCTAAGCGCGTTAAATATGGTTAGATTGGACACATTCAGTCAGTTTGTAATACTACTGTCCATTTCGTTGCAAGTAATGCTCAACTTTGTAATTCTGATCCTATTAAGTTGAATATTTCAGATGAATCATACTCTGATCGGATTCATGATATTATTTTACCAGATACGCGTTGTTCTCATGAATAATGTATTTCTAATGAAATTATTTACAAATATGTGGGAGATATGTCGACTGCATCAAATCCTGCTCGCGATACTAATGTGATGGTTAAGAGTATTTGAATCATTGTATGAACTAGGAATTCCCGAAATAACGCGATTCAAGCCACAAAGAACTAGGTGAGCACAAATAGACGGATTGTGTTTAGAATTCGAAATCAAGCAGTCATCAAATACAAAGGAATCATTAGTGAATACAAATATCACACTGACACAATAAAACTGCCACATAGCCATTTTATACAAATCTGACGTTTTAGAAAAACAGGCTATTTATGCTCCAAACCTAAAGCCTTTGGGGAGTTAAAAGTTATTTAACAAACGTTAGAGTGACTTGAAGTAACAATCATATTTAAGGAATATCAGTAAATTAACATCAAGTTTAAATTTTGTTGAGTTTAGTTGAACAACTGGAATATCAATATTTCGCTCTTTGATCAATAAAGGTCATAGCACATCCAGATCGACTTCAAGTTATTTCTAATGTGTTACTCGACAAAAAACTCAATAATCTCCACAACCCTATACTGACAAAACATTTTTATTTAATACTTTGGGAATTACTGTTCAATAATTTGTGGCTGTTTATAAGACAAACATGGTTTAAGCAACGTTTTGGATTCGTAAAGAAGTACTGCATGGAATATACAATACTATATTTTCCAATAATCAGTATTATGTAAATGAAGAGGCTAATAACTGACCATCAGATCATTCCGTCGATCATACCGTTGTTTTAATGGTAGCATATTAAATTTGCTCTTCAGGTTAGTTATAATTAAGGTTGATTCGGTAACAAGTTACCAACTCATGTATTCATAAATGGGCTACACTATTTTCTGAAGCATTTGGTGATATTAATAAGTCACCCATAGTGAAATAGGAGAAGCGTGGTTCACACGTCTTTTAGTATTAAGCTACCCCTTAATTTTTCAGTATATTCAGGTTAATTAACGTCAGTAAATAGAATCATATTCCTAACCACAGTTTGCCTTTGATTTCCGCAGTCCTGATAAACATTTTTTTCAGCGAGACTATAATTTATGAATCAACCAATCAGATTTACGATTGCAGGTCTTAGATTTTGGCGCGAAATTCATTGACCTACTTGGCTAAATAGAGTCTTGGTATTATAGCTGGTGTCAGTTCGTGATGAAAAGCTTTAAATATAATTCCTAACCCTAACTATCAACTGTGAATCATAATCCTTATTTTTTAAACTGCTTTATAACCCTCATTCAGCCGTAATAAGTAGGTAGATGCTCTCAAGGTCACTTCAGCATCGCCCAAAGGTCGTCCATAAATTATAGTCTCAACCATTTTTCTAGTCCATTGCGTAAAGATACTGTTATATCATAGTGAAGATTAGATTACAAGTAACGTCAGAGACCTATTAATGGACTCATTATTTATATATCCTTATGGTATAAATATTCAGTAATTAGATTATGTATGTCTATATTCCCCTTGTTATAAGCTTTATTTTGACCTATATATTATTATTGTACGATTTACTGTTCTTAAGCTACGTTCAGTTAATTGAATACTGCCTCCCACATTCACAGCCACTTTTTAGCTTTATTGTGTGCAAATGTTATTTCCTATTTTATGGTGTGTTGCGGTCTGTTTGTTTGATATATAAACCCAGTAAGTTTGAAATATATGATTCGCATAGTGGAAGCTGGTATTGGTGTTCTGGACTCAACTGGATGGGCTAGGCGAACATTGGACCAACAAGGACGCTAGGCTACTCATACCGCTCGAACGTCATTGATTTGGCACCGTGCTAAGATTGTATAAGTCGTATTTCGATTGGCGGATGAATCACGTGACAAAACACCGGACATAAAGACACAACAGATACTTAAGAGAAACATAAATCCTCTTGACCACGAATCAGAACAACACAATATATGTATGCATTTTGTTTTTCTTTTTTGATAAAGCCAAGAAAATAGGAAACAAAATTTTTATGTATAAAAAAAACAGAAAATAATGCGGAAAAATAATCAAAATTTTATGTTTAAGTGTATCGATAAAAAGCAATGATAATAATAATAATAATAGTCGTATTAGTACTGAAAAAAAAGTTGAATGAGTTTAAGAAAATGAACAATAGAATGCCATTACTTCAATATATTCATTTCTGAATGTTTCTAAAAGCATTAATAATACTAAAAAAAAGAATAGATGAATGCTTAGATGTTGTTGTTGTTGTTGTTATTTAAATGACAGTAAAGTTGAAAAAAGAAACTGAATTCCATTAGAAATCCTAAAAGAGTTCATGTAATAATAATGATAATAATACAAGGCGTACAATAAATGCGACAGCCAATAAAATACCAAAAAAGAAATTACAGATAATAATTTTTTAAAAAAACGAAGATAAAAACAAACCAAATAACTGGTTTATACTGTTTAATGCTTATAATGTACATACTCTTGTACAATATAATGATAGTAAATAATGATATTGAAATTGATATATGTATATATAATATGTAATCAAGACATATGTTAGTTATATGTTACTTGAAGTATTTCATTTTGAATTTTACAAATGCATGTGCATACATATGCTTGAATAGAATAAATGAAAACTTGTGGTCTATAAAAGATTGAATAGATGGAAATAATTTGTAGATCTTTATTGCTTTGTTTTGTTTGTTTGTTGTTTTTTTTGTTGGAAAGAAAAATAAAGAACAGTCTCATTGACATGATTAGATCAAGTAAATAATGACTGGATAAATATCAAATCATTTGATTAGAATGTATCAGTTGATTAGACTGAATTAAAGTTTGTATTGACTTTATATGATAATTTAAATGAATAATAAAGTAACCAATATATGTCAGTATGATTTCATTTGAAAACTATTTTCTCTCTCTAAATTTCTAATTTAACAAATTTTTCAGCTCCACATGATTCAGGGGATCGTGTAGATGATAAACAAAATGATGTATTTCTCTGAAGAAGAAAAAAAAGGAAGATTTGTGTTTTATTAATGCTTCATTTCTTATAGATTTCATATTCATAACCGTAATGTTAACATATAAGCCAGAACTTCCAATGGTTATATACATAATAATAACATACATTGTTCCTATGTGATAGATGCCGAAATCCTCAATAGTAGTTAATAGAAGATTTTAAAAATATTAGTTACATAATAGCATCTATTAAACAATGAAAGTAAAAAAAAACCTAAATGAGAGATTGGTTTTCTTACTATAATCAAATAATATTAGATTTCAGAGTGTTAACAAGGCGGATGATAAACGTATGAATTTTTCCTTCAACTTCTTCCGAATAGTTATTTTACAGTTTAAAATCTGTTACTAGTACATTTAGAATTCTAAATGAATGTTAGAGCTAAGAGGATTTCTGGAGAAGTTATTATGACTTACTCAATAAGCAACTTAAGTTAAATTTCATTTGATAAATACTATGAAGAAAAGAATCTAGGCTCAATACCTGTTTATCTCCTCATCAATTTAATTCATAACTCATAACACAGTATTTAAAGAAAAAAGTGCTATTGTATATACTGCTCGGTCATTAAATAATGAGCAATCAACTGTAAACATCTCAGTCACGACTACAGTATATCAGTGATAACTTCTTAAGCTGTAATGCTCCACGATATGGATTCGAATCTCACAGGAAATACCACTTTCCTCAAGATTACGGAGTGGCTATTGCTTATGAAAGTCAACTAGGATGTAGTCTAATTTCAGGGTTTCCTTCTGACTACCTTAACATCCCGATTATGCACTGGATTGATCTAAAAAACGTCTCCAATGGAATCTATGTAGTTTAAATCAATTATAAGGAAATAATACTGTATACAAACTAGTTTATTATGCTTGAGAGACCACTTATTTACGATACAAGATTCGATTAAGATAACAAATAATGTTTCCTTCGATACATCAAATACCAATCCATCTGATGCCGTTTAGCATTGATGCTGTTTGTAGGCAGCCTATATTTGGTTTTATATTTACGCTTCATATTCGTCAAGGCTTACATACAAGATCTATTCGTGATTAATATAAAAAATATTTTATCAACTGTGGGAGTTAAAGATATTTGTTTTAAGTTATACAACTAATGATGAGATTCATTGAATCACCGACCGTCTGAAAGCCAGTTCATTTAATCCTATTAGTATTATTTCACAAAAATTTAACCAAATCTCTATCCAGTTATGTTATTATCGACTGGATACACACGTGACTTAAACATTCATATGAAAACTTCATCAACTCACTAAATGCTTAGTTAGTATAGAATGAACACCATCTGGTTCATCATAACATTTCTTTTTATTGTCCAGACAATTATGTAACAATTCTTCTGATAATAAAAGTGATTCAGATAAATTAGTATGATTTGTTAACTGATAGTTACATAATGTGGAATTTTGTGATATACTTCGATGATTTAAATTCGATGGTATACTAGGTCGTGATAATGAGTCAATTAAAGTGGGATTTTGATTTGTCATATCATTTGATTGATTAGCATTAGTACAATCTATAACATTATTATTACTTCCATTACTATTATTATCAACATTAGCATTGGAATTAGTAAGATTAAAGTAAGCTGTAGTATAAAAATTTGATGTATTAAAATCATGACCGAAATTTGTTGTCCCTAATGTTCCTGTATCCGTTACTGTTGTCGTTGTCGTTGGTGTTATTTGAGGAAGGAGACATGTATTAAGCGTTAATGATTTATTGTTCATTGTATTATCAGAAATTAATGCAGTTGTTGTAAATGCTGATGAATGATTATCATTTGTATCAGATATAGAAGTTGAATTATTCATACCTTGATGAAGATGAATTTGATGATTATGCTGTGATTGGACATGTGCAGAATGTAGATGGTGTGAATGAATGTGATGATGTTGATGAACTGGTGAGGATGATGAAAGTGACTGAGGTAAGTGTTGAACTAGTGCATAAGGATCGATTAATTCTGATACAACTTGTAGAGTACTATTATTATTGTTATTGCCTATGATTAATCCTTGGTGAGTTGATTCGTATAACTGATCTGTGTGAGATGTTTGACCAGTTCTTAAATCAGAATCTGTTTCATATGACCAATTTGTATCAACAGCATTTGGTGTATTGTAAATGAACCCACGATTACCGATATTATTTATAGACGTAGCAGTTGTAGTAGTAGATGTGGTAGTATTTGTACTAGTAGATGATAAAATATACGCAGCCATATTTTGCATTATATTTGTTTGATGATTAGACAAATTACGTGGTAAATTTGAATTCATCAATTCACTACCTACTGATCCATTCATATTAGATGAATTAAAGTAGTCTTGATTTAATATATTAACTGGTTCATCTAGATTTCCTGTACCGTTAAATCCCATAGCACCAGTAGATAACGTGGAATTCGGTTGTGAATCAGTAGAATCACCGCTAAAGTGATAAGTCTGTTGATACATGTTCAATAAATTAATCCTTTCACGTCTGTAATAAACAAAAAACAAAAGTCAGAGTGACTTATTATTTTAAAAACAAAAATCATTCTTATGAGTTCTTTCATATTTTTATTTCCCTCTTAAAATATATTTCGGATATCAACTAAAATAATTCCTGTTACTTTCTGAAGTTTAGTAGAAATGTAGGTATTTGACTGATTTAATAGTTTATATAATATTCCAAAGACTTTTTACTTGAAAATAGAAAAGGCTTTCAATGGTCTTTTCTTTCTAACAGGATGAACACTAGCATAACGTTGAGTTTACACCAAAGTAGTACTGCTGTGCAACTGTAAATTGTGGTTTATGGAAACAATTGAAATGAAAAAGCTAAGAATATTACGTCGCTAGTAACCATTACATTGTTAAGAAACTTTGAATCATTCAATAACGTATTATTTTTCTAACCTGTACCACGACTCTATCACATGATTACAAATTTATCTAATAGTACCATCAAACTAAAATAATTGGATGAAACCATAAATAAATGTTTCATTTCATAATGAGATAACCGTTTACAAGAGTGCGATTAACGGATTAATTACTTACAGATTCAGGTCACCAACTATGTTACTTATATTTAAGCTGATTGAGTTTAACAGTCCGGTCGATTTGCTATCACATATATATATTTATATACTCAGTATATACGTGGATATTTGAGTGCACATGACAAACTTAATTACATTGACTACAAAGGTGAAGTATAAAAAGTCTTGTTAATTTGAGGTCACATAAATATCTTAGTTTACCGAAACTACATTCATTAAGCATTAACATTTAGATCATGTATGATTCATACCATCGCTAATAATATTACTAGCAAAACCAATACTAATGTTTATTATACTACCTATATACATACTATCTGTATTGCAAACATTTGCTTATGTTTGTTAGGTTATTCTCTATTCAATTTTAACATTGAAAATGTTTACTTACTATGGATGTATTGTTTTGTTCTTATTTCAAAGATGAAAATCATCCATCACTATCATTACTAAAACCAATCATGTGGTCCTATATTTGGTTCAGTACAATTCATTTCAACTTTAATTTAATGATATACAATTAGTCACTGAAATCTATATTGTGCATACTTAAAATATATCCCGATGAGTATGTAAAAATGACAAGATACAATCAATTATTTTGAATACAATTTAAGCTTATTAATTAGACATCAAACTGTCTAGTTAATTTTGTGTTTTATATTACATTTTTAATCTCTGTGTCTATTATTAAGACTGAGTTTTTCGGAAACATTTAAACTTCCAATAATAGTCAGTATTTCATTTTCTACTATAACTGACTTTTCTCTTTGAGTTAGTTCTGTCAACGTCATCTCAACGTGCAGATGTGAGATAGGAACTTGGACTGATGTATATTTGTGTCAGATCCTTCTTTGCTTATTACTAACTAAATGAACGACAAACTCACTCATATAAAAGCTAAGTATCATAAAGGAACAGTGTTGTATTATCTTTTAGATGTTTACGCAAGATTTGTGTTTACACCACTCGCGTTGTTGAAAACAAAATGGTTTTTCAGTCATTCTCTAAACAATTTCAGTCTATGATTAAAACTTTTTTCCAAACTAAGTGTATTTCCAGAGACGCTTTCATGAATATTGATCCTACGTAATTTACACCGAAAACACTGTTTCAAAGGATAACTGTTGCTCTAACTAGGCTTTCCAAAGCTTCTGGGAAATTTATCACTATTTCTTGTCTTTTTGTTTTGTTGGTCAGGATCTATGTCAAAAATTTATTTCTTATAGCTGTTTGAGTTGATTGAACTATAGATAAGTTTATGTCTGTAAACAAACCTTTCGGCCGAAATATTCTCTGGCCTCAGATAATATCTTTGTGTTTTCGTAACTTTAAATATGAAGGCAGATTTTTTTAAACACTGGGAAATTTCACTTAGGAACACTTATCGCTAATATTATGGTAGGTTTTACACACTGCTCTGTCCAAAAAATTCAAATCTACCTAGTTGTGACAGGTTAAAAGACCATGGTCAGCCTTCATAGACATCCATCAATATAATACCTGTCTACTTATTCACTAATTCTATTTACTTGCCAATATTTTGATTTTCGTCTATATTCATCAATTCAATTTTATAGTGGAACATTAACACTCTTTCTATACATACAGAATAATATAACTTACACTAGAGCAGCTAAGTGTGACTCCGTTTTAAGCCAATGATTCAGAGTGCTTCCAATTACAGCACGATTATACGAGTGTGAATAATTTCCAGATACTGTAGGGTAGTATCGACTCTCTGAAGTATCTGATCGTTTTTCTGTAGTATTTTTGCCTACCATCATATTAGTATTCACGTTATTTGTAATGTTTAATGATGAGGTATGATTATTAATGTTAGCGTCACTTTTGGTTTCTTTTCTGTTGTTTAAATCATTTGTTAAGGGTGATTGTTTCATTATCATGTGATATTGTTGATTATGATGATGATAATGATGTTTAGCTAGTGCATATATCCATGCACGTAACAAACCATAACGTACACTCGATAATGTTTCGACAGCCCCAGGTAAATTTGTCGGAACTAATAAGAGATTGTATGATTCTCCATTGAAGTGAATTGTATTCTGCCCGTAACCATCATAATCATTTTCTTGTCCATAATAATCAAATATGTCGTCAAATCCATTCGGTTCACTTGGACACTTCTCATCATTTATTAAATATTCATTATTCGGTGATAACCAGTTATGTTCACGTAACAGATTGGTATCTTTTTCATAATTTACCCCATTATTATTTTGAATGCTGGCATTAGTGATATTATTTATATTGCAAACTGATGATGGTCTTTGATTTGAACGTATCCGTTTGACTTGTCGATCATTACGGTCGTCTGGAAATAAAGGGAATAGCTTAAAATAAGTTTTGAAGAATGTTATCTATTTCTATCATTAGGTATTATGAAAAAGTACTAACAAACATCGCTGTAATTTTGTTATAATATGCTGTTAGTTAATTTGATTTACTGGCAAACAATCACAGGAATCTATACAGTTTGCTGCAGGAAATTCTGAAAAGATCTAATGTGGCTACCTTCTATCTACAGTAAAAAACTATAGTTATTGTGATCAATCAAACCATACGAAAATAACTCAGTTGATTAAGGTAATAATTTTTTGACACATTATTACGAAAGTTTCACTTGGAATAACTAAGAACAAGCCAGTAATGGAATACTTAAGTAGAGTTGTATCCTTCAAATTTAATTTTTGATTGATCAGCATTTCAATTTCAAACTGGCTATGTCAATCGATGCATACTTAAGTTCACATATGTTTCTGTAAACAAATAGTTTTGGAATTCAAATGTTTAGGAAAGATTTGATCCGAACACAAACGATAAGAAGTAGGAATGATCTAATAGTGTGTTTTATAGATAACAAAAGTAAATTAAATACTGAAAAATAACCTTTTTAAATAGTGATTATACACGAAATTTTTTATATCCTTAACACCGGTTAAACAGTAAAGTAAATTATTTGCACGGCTACGAATTATGGTGCAAATTTTCATTAGCTCCTGACCCACAGTACTTACGAATCCTAATTAACTAACCAACCAAGAATCGCTCAACTCGACGTTGATATTTCACTATCAAACTGATATCTTTTACATTTCCTTATGAGAATCCACTTAGGTGTTTACTGTATGAAAATTATAAATAGCTCTAACTGTTAGTGTTCCGAAAGGTTAACTTCACTTTTTATGCACATGAGTTTAATTGGTAATTTGTAATGGTTTAATAGTCACTTCAAATGATAATACTGTTTTTATTTCGCAGTAGTATAAACTAATCTATAAAAATTCAGACTAAACAGATTCACTTACTTGATTCCTTTCTGCGTTTACCTAGTGAAGGAGTACTAATTACTAAGGAATCTCCAGTACGCCTTTCGTTATTCTCTTTATCTCGTTTAGGACATGCGCAACTGCGAAATTTGATGCACTGACGTCCAAGTACTTCACAATGTCCCTTACTTGGATCAGACCTGTTTTATCAAAAAGAAACAAGAAATGTTTTCATAGAAATGTTTGTGCTTACAAGAAGTAGGGGAAGATTAGTTATACTCTAGGATGATCATGCACAGATTAGATGAGAAGCGAGAGATGATGACGGATATACACTATAGGTTTAACTTTCTGACGAAATGGAAGTATACTACTGCTAGAAAACCTAGCTTAATTTTCTGTGGGACAGGTATCTATATTTATGAGTGAGCTGTTTATATATTTCCGATTTGCTTAGCCAATAAAAGCTCACCAGTCACTTTTAGTTTTCTCACTCAAATAGCTGGTTTGAGCGTGCATATAAGAAGCGTATGTATCACTATTCGAATCTCATATTCACGGAACTTAGCAGGCTGACAGTAATTTTCTGATAAAAAATGTCTATCAACTTTTCGATCTTATATACTTTATATGTTAATGTTTCCTCTAACTATTCAACAGGCAACATGATAATAATAATTTCAACAATCATTTCCGATTTTCTTTATGTGTTTGTGAATACATTTTGATAATCGCACTCAGTTTATTTTTTTTAACTTTCAATAAACATTTTTCGAAATTTACCTCACTATTTCCATGGTAGTTTATTCAAAAAGTCTATTTACACAATATATACTTTGGTCTGAAGCCACTAATATAAAGCCAATCTAATTATTTATTTAAGAGTGCCGCATACTTGTGACTGTATGCATAATGTAAGAGCTACTGAAATGCTTGAAGGTAGTCTTCTCTGAGTAGGTTTACTTTGAAAAATTAATTGATGATTACAACCAAGAAACATACTACTTGTTTTCAGTAATTTCTAATAAGAATTAAATTGTATTTTCCAATTATTATGACAGGAATATCCAAACATAATACGGTTATGAGATTTTTAACACAAAATAAACTTGTTATTAAGATGACTATAATGCACACTTAAATTGCTTTGTTTAATCTAATCGCTGATCACGATCGATGTTGACTAACTTGTAAAACTATGAACAACTAATATCAGGAGTCATCAACAAATAGTTTATTTCGTTTCTGAGATTATATTCACTTGTTTAAACGAGCAGAAGAATGAATTCCATAACTTCTTAGACTTGGTTAGAATAAACTAGATAATTTTGAGGATTGCACCGATTCCTAAGGGTTTGATCATCTATTTTAATGGCTTGATAATTTTTAAAATATAGCAAAGTTTACTAGACTTCTGCTTTTGAAGTGAACTTGCTTGTAAACTTTTTACCGTAATTATGTCGATTAACAATGTTCTATGACATTAGATTTTTTTGTAAACCTTTTAAACCTTACAGGTTATCATGTATGATAGTCTTATCGCTTTACACTCACATGAAACCAATGTTATTTAGTTTTATTAACTGATGATTTTGTTCAGTCACTAAATGTTATTTCTGTTCAAATGCATCTGATTCATTCACCCGCACGAATAAACTTTCTCAAAGTATGTCATGTCTAGGTTCTTTTGTTTTATTCTATAAATTTATTTACTTTTTTAATCTGTAGACAACGTAAACTAATCTATTCTGCTTTTAAAGACTTATAATTGTGACTCTAGTTTTTTTTAACGAATACCCCCGTGACCAGACAAATTGACTTTTTCATCACTTTCTCTATCTCTATATCTTTCTTTTATTATTCAAACTAAATTCTTATATGAATAGTATTGTATCTTTATGATTGTTGTTATTGTTATTTTTACTATATTTAATAGCGATTTCACTAACCTATAAGCTAGTTCAGGTCACGTCTGGTCACTACATGGTCTAATCGTTTTGGACATAGGACAAAATGAGATTTAAGATGGAAATAAATAAATACGTATACCCATGAATAGTATATAAAATGATAAATTTGTATATGATTCTGAAATGACCTTAGTTACCAAGTAATTTTAATACAGCATAAGTACATAATATACTTAATGTTTTCTTTTTCAGTTTGTACAGTATATAAATATGAGTATGTAACACCCCTCTCACTACCTTACAAATGTATATATCGTCACCTCTCTCGCTTCCAGGGGGGTATATATATCCACATTCAGAAAAGCGAAAATATAGACACACTTTTACTTCAAACGTATATGGTAATTTTTTTTTAATAAAAGATTTTAAAACATGCTGAAGCATGTCATTGTGAAATTGACAAACCAAAACTATTATCATCTATTCTATTGTTATTGTCTTCATCATTTTTTTTTCAATTCACTGTAGATGTGGAGATAATTTTTTTTCAATAAATACGAACATCTTTATATTTATTTAGTATAAATGATACCTTTCTATATATAAAAGAACATTAGGTTTGCTGGTCATAGATTTATTCACTTTCGTTATAGTTGATAATTAAACTTCTTATCTAGTTCATTCATATTTGCATTCAATATTGCATCAAAAACGCATCCAGCATGATATACATATATTAAAATCCATTGATATACAATACATTACATTAACTATCTATTAATAACAACAACAAAAATAGAGATCACAAATAGTATCATTTATGGAATCACCGAAAACCAGGAAGTGTTGAACGTTCTTTGTTTTCTTTTATTAAACTCATTTTTACTTTATCAAACTTGATAAGATCAATACATCTGTGAATCATTTATATACTGAATATACACAAATCTCTATTTGCTAAATTTTAGATGATCAGTTTATAGTACTAAAACAAGAGTTGTATTATTATTATTATTAAAATAACTAAAGTGATAAATATAACACATTAGCTGATTCTAAAGATAATTACCTTAATAATTGTTATATTTCAATAAATTAATATACACTTACCCAGTTATTAAACGTTCTAAAGTTATAATTAAAAAGAGTGGTTTCTTGTTCCCTTGACCACCATTATATAGACAACTATTGAAACACATAAATTTTCCATTGAACTGACTATATTCACATCCTTCTGTAGTTAAAAAAAAAGCGTATACAATATAAAGGGTGATAATCAATTGGGTTTTTTTTAATCTAGTGTAATCACTACAATTACAGCTATTGGCTTCTTTTAACAATTTTAATTTGATCATACAACAAATTCAGTTACACTATTTGAGTTATTAAGTAAGAATTTGCATGTTTAAGTAAAGATGATAAGTGAAATAAAAAAATATAAAAACACAATAAATTTAAATTCTGACACAACCTCAATTAGTTTGACTTAAATTTGAACAAGAAAATGGATCTTTTAGAAGATGCCCTATTTCATAACACTTTTATTATTTTTAAAAGAAAAATCAAATACGTATGAATGATAGAAGTGGAAAGGCTTTTTTAAACTATTAATTACCTTTAGGTGTTTCATATGGTAAAGTAACGCATAATCGTTCTGTTATTGGATCAAAAAAGTATTCAGCTAATGAATTACCAACCATTACTATACTGTAACGACCCATTCCAGCGGTTGGAATCGCCATAAAATCTTCAAAACATCTAAATAGAGAAATAATAAAAGAAGTGATATTAAAAAAATTTATTTACACATTATGGATAAAAACTATATATTCAACATTCATTTCTTATAGATTCTAACAACTTCTTAAATATACTTAGAAGTTTGAAAGCAATCCGAATAAAATGTTTAGGAATATTCAAATATTTCATAGTACAAATAATGTGTTGGAATGAAATTAATTGAAGAATGTTTTCATGTTGGTTTGAGAAATGATGAGTAGGCAGTTGTCACATTTTTCTTTGCAATCCATCTATATACTTAGTGATAACCTTTAACAAGATCAAAATTGAACCGTTTGGGTCTTATGGGGAACGATATTTTGGAACTAATCAACAATAACTGATATTTATTATATCCTTTAGCTGGTAGAAAACACTGAGTTCAATTCTTAACGGAAACAATAGCATTAATTTTTAGATACAATCGATTGACGGGTGTCCTATGTGACGAAATGTCCGTTTTAGACTTTACTTTTAGTCATTACTAAAAATTAACACTTGACTTTACTGATCCATATACTTTTAAAGTATTGGAAATTCAACAGCTGATGCTATTCTATTTATTTCCTGATTCTTAATTGAATTACAAACAAACCATAAAAAATTATCCTTACTTTAAAATTATTTGCTTATCAGACAAATAAAAGTGATACGATACTATTATAGAGTTTATTTGGAAGGGGGAATTATTTGTCTGTTATGAATATATTTATGGATAGAAGTGAATATTTATGACAAACTAGGTAATGGATAGAAAAGAACAAATTTTCTGCCTTTATTTTTCTTCCTCTCAAAAATTATAGACTTAGAAAATTGTATAAGTGAATTTTATTAGAAGAATAGACAAATATTCCGAATGGATAGAAAAATAACCGATAATATTAAGGAAAATTTCCACAAGAATGAATGTAGAACGAAAGAAAATTTGCGCTTTTATAAGGAACAAAAACAAAATTTGGTTTGAATTTAGAATTCTAGAGTACAAAGCTTTTTAATAGTGATTGTCAGTGATTTATATCTATTTTGAAGGTAAATTTTTACTATGAACCAATGTCAGTGTCGTTGACAACCAGAAAGTACTGGGTATCTCTCTTGATCAAGTTTTGAACTCCACATCAGTATGTCAACCTACAAACCCATCTGAGATTAAACCCAGGACATTTAAGACTCTCTGCAGACTCGATATCATTCGATAAATTAGTTAGGATTCAATATTTTACACACCCAAACTATCTTAATTTATAAATAAAAAAGTATTATTTATTACATTCTTCCTTTGACATCAGTGTACATGTAACTATCTATAAACGTGTACACACTACTGAAATATAATTTTTAATAATCTATTTAAATAAGCTAATTTGTGAGTGATAAAATATTCCGAATGTATTTGTTATATATTTGTCAGATATTGTAAGGAATAGAAGACCAGTTTATCTAGACTAAAATGGAAACAGCACTTTATTGGATTAACTTTTACTAAAAAATATCAAGTCAAAGATTCCCAACTTAATAAGAAACATGATAACATAGTTCCTTAACTTTACAAATCAACCAGCTAGCTCAGAGAAATTATAATTATAACTGGGAGCCAAAAAACACAGAAAATTTGTTCGTTATGAATATCAGCGAATCTGGTTCTTAGTGTAACAAATTAAAACCACGTCTCAGTAACAATTAAAATGAAACAGTCATCAACATTAGAATAAGTTCACAAAAATTACAATTATTTTTGTTTTCACTGATGAAAGTTAAAAAACGTACCTCTGGATTACTTCCTGTTGTTTATCTGATGCCCCGTAAACTGGTGTTAAACGAATGAATGAACCTTCTGGGGGTTTACGTTGACACCAATAGGATAATGTCCACCATGTAGGTGTTTTCTTCGCATACAAATTTGTCCATCCTTGTTCATCTTTAAAATACTACAGTCCAATAGTAAATATAAAGAAGAATGAGATTTAGGATAGTTTATCTATCACTGAACTGAGAACAGTTCAATAATAAATACAAACATTTTCCGCAGGTTAGCTAGTCAATATTTTCAATTATTTAGAACACATCTTGTTATCAATAGTAAAAAGTAACAGCTCCAACTCTGAGCATTGTCAGAGTCTGAAAACAACTCCATACATAAGATAATATCCAGAAACATTTGTCAAGTAGTGAAATTAAAACAGTTTTACCTAAATTGTGTGTTTACACGTTTTTACTCATCGTGCATAGTGCCAAAATGAATACTTGATCACTATATTATCCAGTTAACATACTTCTACAACGAATATACTTCTTATCGCAAGTGAGTATAACATCTTAAATGACTCATGTAAGAAGCCTGTGTAATCAAAAAGTGCATCCTAAAACAATGAAATAATAAGTAAATGATTTATAAAGCTTTAATTGATTAAATATACAGTTTACTTACAAAAAATGCAGTACTCGGTTTTGTTTCACTTGCTTCATAAGTATCACCACATAATGGTCGATAAAGATCGAAACCGTAAAATCCAGGAAACGATTCTCTATAATTTAATAAAATGAATATTATATAAACGTTAGAATGATAAAATATAACGAATTTCATCAAATTATACAGAAAATGAACAAAGTAAGCAAAGTATCATTTAGAGAATTTATTCTTAATCTATAAATGATTATTATTCTCAACTGCTCTCGTTTGATGAATTACTGAAAATATGGGAGAGTAAAATAGCAGTAACATCATAGCTTCGAGTCTTACAGTAGAAGTCCTTGAATTCCTGGGTAGTACATTCTACTGTTAGAGCAGAATCCTTGATTATCATTGAAATCTCTCGTGGTTCTCAATGATTCATTAGCTTAAACGACAACACTGTAAATTTTAAAACTAACAGTTGGAGTATATTTCACTCTACAAGCTGAAGTGATGATTCCCATGATTAAACGTTTATTCATTTCACGAAAAAAATCTATTTCAAAACTTATTTCATTTTATCTTTGAGTGAAATTGATACAGAATTTTATAACTATTAGAATTGTACTACTAATAGTAGTAAGTAACATTTTCGTGACAAGAAATTAAAATGATTCATCATCATCATCTACTAAGTTCACCTTGATCTTATTCATTATTTAGTTTTATTTATTCTATCAAATTATTGTTAATCTAACAAAGATCAAGAATATATCTTTATAAACGTCATCTACATAGATTAAATGGTAACAGCTTTATTATGATTACTAATATGTGGTTAAGTGTTATTAATTTTTTCTAGAGCTAAGTAAATTAGAAACAAAACGAAATCTTAATTTTCTACGTAACTCTTAAATCTCTTGATAAGTCTAACATTTTGTTTAGTCAAATTTTGAAAAAAAAATTTTTTTGGTAAGAATATTCCATTCTATACATCTTTGCTGTTTACTGACAAGCACATAAGTGTAAAAAAAACCCAATAATACACACATAAGTAACCCATGTAGACACAAATATTAAAAAAAAAGATAATTTTGCATTCACAACTGGAAACTTTATAATATATGAAGAATCAAAACAATTAAGATGAATCACTTCCAACTATTATTTCAATATCAATATTGCCGTCAACACTATTAGTAAATCAACACTTTATCGTCTGTATTATTATTATTATGAATCTCTTAGTTAATTCAGTGAATTAAATTTCATTTTTATCAGTTTATTATTACTATGACTATGGTCTTTCACTGAGTCTTTCTTGTTTTGCTTATGTTGCTTACTACAAATAAGGGTACCACGCCCCAAAATTGTATATCATTTGATATTTATAGACATATGTACCAAACATTTATAGTATATATATATATATATATATATATATATATATATATATATATATATATATGATTAAGTTAGATACAGTAATTTACAGAAGCTACCTATTATGTAAAATGAATATAAAATTGTTTGTTTCACTATATGAAAAAAATATGATGAATAACTTTTTACTATTCAATGATTAACTAGACAAAACAACATAATCTGATATAGTAATGTTTAAGTTTTTATTATAAATTTCAAATCTACTGGTTAGTAACTTAAAATTTAAGAAACAGTACCGTATACTATTTAATCCAATAGGGAATAAATGAACTATTCAATAGAATTTTTCGGTTCGATAATTCTTGTGGATTTTCTACTTTAATCAGGGTTCAGATAAAAAAAAATAGATACTGACTTAGAATATAATGTGTATATCTCAGATATCACAGTTAACTTATCTTAGTAACCTGATTAGTCTTTTCATTTTTTTAAATGAGGGCCCAGAAACTAACTGTTATCCATTATGCTTACATCATTAAGGTCGTTCGCCCTCAATAAACATTTTCAAACACATAAGCAACAAATGTTTTGCTGCATTGATATTGTTTCATTCATTTAAAGCACATAAATTCTGGTACTATAGAACTCCAAAAAAATAATTCATTATACAGATGATGTAAAGACAGTGTAAAGAAACAAAGAAGGGGAAGGTGCCTTAATTAGTAAAATAATGAACAAGCTACATTTCCAAACAACTAAAGAAAACTATTGATATCGTTAGACTAAAGTGAAGATGATTCAGTAAAGGGAATCTTCTTATCAATAATATAATTTACATTATTCGTATTTTTAGTTAACTTTTACACATACAGATTATTGTGTTATTTAATAAAGCTATCAAAAAATAAATAAATAAAAGTATCGAATGTAAGTTATATGGTAGCCCTAGAAGTAATAAGAGATAATAACCTATAAAGAAATAAAAATAGAGAAATTCTCACTTGATGAATATAAGGAAAGTGAAGGAAAGTTACATGAATGATTATAACAACGTGTTAAATTATAAGCGGTGCTAAGACTATGGTGAAACAAAAGTTGGCTAATTCACATTAGAACACACCTTTTACCAACAGTTCAACACAAAGTGTATACAAGCATCAGTTTCTGTCAGTTTTTCTGAAGTACTTTGCATTTATAAGGTTCTTAGTAAATCTAATGTGTGAAGACACTAATTGACATCTGATTAAGTACGATTTAGATAACGTATTTATTACTGTACATTGTACTCTACAGCTTTGAAAATCATAAATATGCTGATTCACTGCAGGAAGCAAAATCGATAAACCCTTAGTGATGTTTGTGTAATCTATACGAAGATTATTTTATTTAACAACAAAATCTTATGCGGAGGAAACGTTTGATGTATAGGTTAAAATTTAAAGAGTTTACAAATTGAGTAATTTATTACTCATGTGAAAAAGTACATCGTTCCAAGTAATTCAAATAGGTAGTTAACCATAAATAACTTGAAACCCGTCTCAAGTATCCATTGGTTGAAGCTCTCAAAATTTACATAACCATAATATAAAGAAATTAAATAAATTAGACGTAAAACAGTAAACGAAATAATATAAGTAGTAGTAGAAAATTAACAAAATGAATTGAACGTAAAAGAAACGAGTAAATCAAGTAAATCAAAACTAAAGTGCAAAACTACGCTCAAAATTTTAACAGAGATAATAAATATATCTGGGCCACTGTGAGTAACTGTGTTGTTTGTATTAACTAATGATTCTTTTGTACTGGTTGAATGCTCGATTTCGAATTCCAAATACAGTACATTCGTTTGTGCTTGTGTCTTCTTAATTCAATTACGTTATTTCTTGGACCCTTAGTTACTGCTATAATTCAAATAATTCGAAACATTATACTGGTGTCGCGATGGAGCCTCCAATTGAAAAGTTAGATATTCATTCAACTTCTGAAGCTTTTGAGGATTATTTTGAAAGGTTCGAAATCTGGGCTATGACCAAGGAAGATGATGAGGATGTTAATATTGTGGCATATTTCTTCACATTCACCGGTAAAGAAGCATACAGCTTATTAAGAACTCTGGCTATGCCGGAAAAGCCTATTTCGCTTCCTTATACAACTCTCAAGGAATTACTATTAGACCATGTCAAGTATGCGAATTTTGATTGCAGTAAAGAAGGGGAATTTCCTAAATGATTCATCAGGACATCAAAAATTCTACTACATCACGTTATCCTAATCCAGTGCATACTCAAGGTTATGCAGATAACTCATTGAGGAGTTGCAGTACGTTTCACGAAGATTGGCGCAAGTTTGGTCAATGTTTGTCCTGTGGCAAGTTCCATGCTTTTAATTCATGTAAATTTCGTAATTCTAAATGCTTTAAATGTGGTGATATTGAACATATTCAGTCAGTCTGCAATACTAATGTTCATGTTATTGCAACTAATATTAAGTCTTGTAATTCTGATTCTACTGAGTCGAGTATCCATAATGATGATTTGTCTTTATCAACTATTGCAATAGACAGTGTAGAGTCACAGAGCAGTTCAGAGATAAAACAAATTCAGAATTCTTGCGAAACAACAGTTTCTCACCAATCGATTTATCAGAATTCTCATGCTATTGTACCAGGTATGGTTTATCCTAATGATTCATATATTTCTGATGAAATTCCTTGCAAATCTGAAGAAAATATGTTGAGTGAACATAATTATGATCGAAAACCTGATGTAGTTTTGATAGATGCCAATTTTTCTAATGATCCATTACTCTGCAATGGCATTCTTAATGAATTTCATGAGAATATTTCAGAAGAATCAAATCCTTATGTTATATCATGTATTACCTATCCTTATAATGCATTTGATCCTTGTGAAAAACCTGTTCAATGCGAAGCACGAGTATTAAGTGAGCTCAATTTTGATTACAATTCGGATGATTTCATACCAACTGCTGTTCATCCTTATCAAAAATCCACTTCCAGTGTATACTCTAGTCAATGTGAGAAATATGTTTTAAATGAAGTCACATTGTTCATAACTTGGGATATAAAGATCCAACATTTCGTGGGGGAGGATAGTGTTGAAAAATATATGGTTCCAATTCTAGATATTAATGGTTTCGGTACAAAACCGACATGCTGATTGTATACAATTCTAGGTTAGTCTGTTCCGATTTCGTTTGTTAATTCCAATACTAATGAGCACATTCTAGATACTAAAAAGTTTTTATCCAATACAATGTCGGACAGACTCAGGATGAACTTAACAAGAAGACGTACAACCGATTACAAACACTTATACTTCTGTTTAAGCTGTGGCTTGTGCTTGTGTCTTCTTAATTCAATTGCGTTATTTCTTGGACTCTTAGTTAGTGTTATAATTCAAATAATTCGTAACATTATAGTAATACATTTAAACAAGCATGGCTAAAAGTTTAGGATTTCGAGTACCTTAGAAACATGTTACGTAACCTTAACCTACACCTGAAAAATCCAATAAATATACTAATGTAGTATACAGTAGATATTCCCATCATGTTATATTCTCCTTCATTATAATTGTTAAGTTTTATACACAAAACAAGTCGAATCATTCTAAAAACTAGTTTGCATAAACAATCGGGTAACTATTGTTATTGATATTATAACTTAGTAAATAATGCATCAGAAAATCAAAACTTTTTTTCGATTATTTGGTGTAGATTTCCGTTCTAGATCTTCTGGCTTATGATGTGAATTTCCAGACTGAACATTTTGCTAGACAAGAGCATCGATTAACAAACGATATGTGACTGATGTTTAAGAAAGATACTGTACACTTCAAAAATTGTCATTCAAAATATCGCTTTACCAATTGAGTCATTCTTAACACAAATTATCATGAACACGTGATTAACAACTAAGGAGAAATCTAAATCGTAAGATTTATTATCTCAGAGCTCTTCTCTGCTGGCTATTATTTTAAAACAGTGGAGGTCTTTAACCATTTAAATCATGGACTGATCCACATAAACCACCACTTGAAACCTGGGAGCAAAGAATGGCCGTTTCTACTTGGTATATGATTCCTCAGTGCTGCGCATCTATGACCTCGGATCTGGGAATCGAATCCAGGATCCTCGGTCTCACCTTATCATCCATATCCATCATTATTTCAACAAACTTAAATGATCATTTATTGCTATATAAGATACAGATGAAGATTATTAAATTTTGCAAGTAATATGATTAAATGATACGTAACTGTGGTTATGAATGGCATTTAAAACCGCACTTGGTCAGGAAGCAATAGACTAAGAATGGATTGATTCTACAAAACGTTTGCAATTTTATTCATCATAAAAAAGATATATTACTGCGACCACAAAATACCATAAAAATGTAAATGATGGAAATATCCAAATAATTAATCAAGTTGAATACTTATTGAAGGAATGTTGTATTATGTATAGTAACTCAAGTTAGTTTTATCGATGTTTCAGTTACGTAAATAAAATATCGAAGCCGACAAATGCAATTCACTTTTGCAGCTTTTAAAGTGTAGAACACGGAAGTTAGACATTAACATCGTTGGATGCTGGCTCAGTAGTCCAGAGGTTAGGCGTTCGCACGCGAGATCGAATGTCCTGGGTTCGAATCCCGTGGACGCGCACTATAGGGGAGTCCAGTACTAAGATGAAACGGCTGTCCAGTGCTTCCAGGTTTTCAATGGTGGTTCAGGTTACATCGACTCATGAATTCAACTATAAATAATTTATCACAATAAGTTCGGATACAGATGGAACCTACATAAATTTTATCACTGAATAATATTCTCTGATGTTTGGTTTGTTCAGCTAAAATATATCTGTAATTTACCCACAAGTATACGAATTCCCCTAGTTTCATAAGTGAGAGAGAAAGGTTCAACTTCAGTAGGAAAAATAAAATTCTTATCATTTTTACTCAGTATCTGGATATATTGTTGTAGTTTGATAATCCAGATTATAATATATATTTTGCATATTGATCCAACTTGTTACTCTACATAAGATAATCAATGTGAACAGTTAGTAAGCCACTAAAATTATGGGTACTGAATTTGCTGAGACATATTTCAGGGAGACCAGGATGATAATAAATCACAGTTGTTGCTTATTACAATCCACCTAACCTGTACCATGTAAAACACTTTATATACACAATATTAGGAATATTCAACTAAGAATTAGTTCGAATTCAATTTATCAACTCATTAATTATTGTTATTCTTTTGTACTAATTGTCAAAATGTAAATGATGAAGTTATCAATTGCATAACATTCTCTAAATCTTAATGCAATTATCTAACCTTCAAATAATAAGTTCTCAAGCGAACACCAAATCTAAAAGCAAGAAAGCCAATTATCATGTCTTATTTATTAATGCAACAAAGGGCAAAATGCACAACTTCAATGAATTTATCAAAACCGAACTTTTGCCAAAAAGACTAGTATGTAATGAGTTTTACTGATGATGGATAGGATCTAAATTGACATTGAAATAATCTCCCTGTGTATAAATTAGTTTACTTTTTACAGATTAACAGTTAAGAATATTACATTGTTAAATTTCAGCTTTTTAACACTCAAAAAAATGGAGATAATTTAAATGTAAGCAAATTTATTTGAAATAAATTCATGACCATGGATAAATTGTTACTTACAGAACAGGTATATCGTCAGTGTATAACTTTTTCGGTGGGAATGCTGAATCTAGATCTGTATCCGGACGAGGACCAATACTTGTAGTAGTCAAACTGTTTCCGTTTTCCATATCATGATATGTATTTGGGCTGATTTTAAAACGATGTTGTGTACCATACATGGTAAGTGTTGAGCCATTTGGTGAAGTACAATTTGAACTAGAATTCTATACATAAAAAAGCAATCGATTAAGGTGTCCCACATGACAATTAGACAATAAATGCGAATGAATATTTATTACTAATTGCCTAATTAGTTTTTTCCAGTTAAGTTTCATTAGAAATCAGTGATTCAAAACCAGAAAAAAATATCAGTAAATAACTTTGTGGGGCATGATAGTTAACTTTAGATTGGTGACCAATAACTACGTAAAAAAACTACTGATAGTCTTCAGTTGAAAATAATCACCCAATAAGTGGGTCGTATGCAAGTAGTTTAGAGTAGATTATAGTAATCTACATCAGTTACTTCTAATGTTGGCTGAAGCTTTAATGACGAGAAGCATAGGTTCTCTAAAATTCTGAAAAATATCAATTGCATACACATATGGATTATTGAGAATAGACAGCTACTCAAACTGTAGTAGATAAAATAGAATTTGAATGTGCCACTGAGTAGTCAAAACTTGATAACTTTAAATCAAATCAGTTAAGTTCAGTATTAGACATATTTGTTTAAATTAACTATATATTATTATAGGATCAACAATAGTTCATGTTCAATCATTCTGATAACGTCAAACATAATTTAATGAATAGACAGCGTGTTAATCTACACTCATTATCTCAAAACCTTTACAAAATTTATTTTTTACCAGTACTAATATTTCGTATCTAACAGATTTTGTTAATCACTAACTAAAGCAATAAATCTTTGTTAATTCCTTGGAATTATTTCATTTTTGATGGGATAGGAAAACGATGATTCCTTGAGATTATTGTCTAATGACTTGTAATTATGTTTTTGTTTATACAATATTACCTGAGTAAAAAATATTTTGTAGTCAGTATAAATAGGTAGTGTAGATTAACCTTGAATTCACTTACTATCTACTTATCTAGATCAAAATTACCGTCAGAAAATTTTGTTCGATATACGTTACCTTTGTCAGTTTAATTGATATTAGCCACGAATCATTTTGCACTTGTGATATAATACTTATACATTGATATACATATTTTGAAACCATTGAGCATTAAATAATGCTCTTAAAGTTGCTAAAAACTTATAGTACATTAGTGTATGCACACAAGTAAACATATTTATAAGATGAGTTCTAACTCATTCGAGAATAAACATTAGAAAAACCCACCCATCACCTTAAAAAATCATTTCGAGTTGAATAGATAATTCGACATCTTGATTGAACACCACGTATACTCTAATGGTTTCCCATACATTATTATTATTTGAACGATGCTTCACAACATTTACCACATATACTAGTAAGCAAATATTAATATTTATAAGATTAGGCATACATAATTGTTTAACAATATACATTATATATTAAACAGTTAATTAACTTACCAAATTATCTGCTAAATTAGTACAATCTGTAGTTGATAGTTCATTGGTATTACTGTTTGTATTGCTTTTGTGATTAGTGATAAGCATATTGTGATTATGATTATTATTTGTGGTACTAGTATTATTATTACTAGAATTATTACTGGCATTATGTTTATGTATATACTGTACATTTGATAAATTTGTATAATCATCTATACTATCAGAGATTACATTGACCGGATGACATTGGATAGAGTCTGTTTCATTCATTAGTAATGTAATATTCATTATTACTTTTTTTTGCTCAATTATTTTTATACTGAATAAGTTAAAAAGATAAAAGGAGTTTTTTTCGTATCCTTGTTTTTTTTAATATTCCACTCACTACACGGAATGTAATACTACTATTCGCATTGACGATAGTAATTTATATTATATCCACCTTCTGAATATAAGATGAATTTATCGTCCTTTCAGTGTTCAGATTAAATTACAACTGAGAACTATGACAAATAGTAAATTAATAACCATAATCGTATTGGAAAGAATCGGTTGTTGGTAAGATATGGTTGGTGGTGGTGTGGTTGACTGAAATGGACTAAGGCAATAAGAAAGTCCACATATATCTATTTATATATATATACTGACGTATTTCATATTCTTCTTCACACACATACATTATTTCTACATGACCTATGGACATGATGACCAAAAAATTAAAATTGAATATACATATAATATAAACTTTAAAAAGACTGAAACACGGGGGAACTTAATATCTAAGTGAAACATAGAAATGTGCACATAAACACATATCTACATACAAACATGCAAATAAGAGGACAATTACTTATAGATAAAGAATGAAAATGAAATAATTTGCGGTTCTAAGGTGGTGTATGTAGTGAGCATACATTTGAATATAGATAAAGCACCATATCTGATAAGTTTTCTTGATCATTTATAGTATTGTACACGTCAATTTTAAAAATAACAATGTTTATACCGCATGTGGATAATACTAATATGTTAATAAACACACATACATAGAAAAGTAAATACTGATGACCGACAAAATAAGGACATATTTAAGTAAAAAAAATATATATATGATCTGAACTAACCAATCTATCACTAACCTCATTGGGCAATTAAATTAATCATAAATTTGAGCTCATATCATTTTCTGCGCGTGTATACAATTGTACATAGAAATATGTACAATATGTACTTGTGTGTGTTTGTGAAATAACATTTGTATTCATGAGAGTATGAGAGTAGAGAGAGAGAGAGAGAGAAAGACTGGAAACTATTATCCATAGTGTCTACTTAAAAAAAATTATTTACTCTTTATTTTAAGGATCATCAACTTGACCACCCTACAACTACGACGACCACCACCACCATCAATGTAACCATCAAATACAATAGTTTCAACAGTAAAAATAAACCCCGACCTGATGACAAGTTAAACATTAAAACAATATAGTATATGAACAAAAGTATCAACAATCGTCTCAATTTACACAAGGGGGTAGAATGCAAAAATAGACACATCATAAAACAAAAGAGTTTGTAATGTTTGTCCAGTAATGCTAAGAAACTATATATGTATATCAAGCCAAGAATAATAACAATAGAAAATAATAATAAAAAGATTTAATTAACAAACTAGCACTTCTCTTCCTACAAATACATATACATAAGTAATTCTATCCACTTTATATCTGAGTCATATAACTTTAAATCAGTTTATCTTCTACATATATAATAATCACGTGTTTTATATGTTTAAAAGAAGTAAATTGATATATCAATGCAAACTGGTTAATTATTTATCGTAGAAACTAAGCATAAAATAACCTGTTAAGATCAAAAATGAATATGATATTTCACAGATTGAAATCGTGAGTCAGTTGAAGTTAGACCACTATTGAAAACCTGGAAGCACTGGACGGCCGTTTCATCCTAGTATGGGACTCCTCAGCAGTGCGCATCCACGATCCCGCACCACGCGGGGCTCGAACCCAGCTTCAACTGACTCACGATTTCAATCTGTGAAATTTCTAAAATCTCCACAAAACCCATTCGAATATGATATTTGTTTGTTTTTTTTAGATTGTTCAAGGTTTCTATTATGGTATATTGTCATAATAGGTTGAGAATCTACTGAAAGTCCTTTACAGTGTTGTTTAAATCTCTTTTGCTTTCATAAAAATCCTTTGAATTTAACATTAAAATCCATCATTTGAGAACTCATTTCTAAATAATGTTTTTTGATAAAATATACAACACCATATTGATATATGGTTGAAAATAGGATTCATCAGAAGTAGAATATGTGATTTAAAAGATGATTTACTCATTATGTATGATAAGAAACCTGGTTTATTAATAAAATAGATCTTGAAAGTACAATACTAAGATGAGGAAACATTTTATCATTCTGTACTTCACAAGTGTTATTCGATAGATATCAGAAATCTCAAAAAATTACACTGAAACAACTTTTCTGATGGCTATCGACGAGATAAACAATAAATTATACTATGGTGTTTTTAAATACTTCACTATCCCTGAAAGTCCAAGATTCCTTATTACTTAAATAAGCTTGATTATTGAGATTTGAAGTTGTAAGGGTATCATGATTATAAGTAGAATATTTCTAAAGAAAATCATTAGTGACTAGCTTCACGATAAGATTTCAGAAGTTCTAGTGAGAGACCGCGACCAGTCGAGTCTAATCTATGTTGAGTGTGAGACAGTTATCCACCTGGAACAACGGGTGAACGGTTGTGCAAGATTACGGATTGATTGAAGTTGAACATTAACACCACCGAATGTCAGCTTAATGGTCTACAGGTTAAGCGTTTTCGTGCAAGACCGAACGTCCTGGGTTCGATCCCTGCATACGTGGTCGTGGATGCACACTGCTAGGGAGTTTAGTACTAGGACGCGATAGCTATCCAGTGCTTCCAGGCTTTCAATTGTAGTCTAGTTTAAAACGACTTGTGATTTCAACTGTAAAAATATTATTTATCATTATCACCCCTATATAGAAAGGAGCCATCACTATATAGGCTAATGTATTTCTTAATGCGGCAGGAGTCTCACCATCTAGTGATGTATGTACCTTGATATGAGTGAAAGAAAATGTAAAAACATTAATTTGGTGATAGTTAGCATACGAAGATCTTAGAATCAATCTTATTATTCGCGTCTAAACAATGTGGTTTATAAATCATACAATATACAACTGAAATCTTTTTCAACCTTCATTCTAAATAATTGTCGTACTATATTTATACCGAACCTATATAATCATTTAATTTTAATAAGGAGTTGAGAATCAAATAGGAAATATGAAAGTTCTTTATATATAACATTAAGATTTGTTCTAGGATTTAGATTTCATGTTAAACACTACTTCACTTCATGACATTATTTCACTATGACACTATTTCACCATTAGTAAACTCAATCAGAATTCTAACAATCAATATGTTGATGAATCCCAGCCACTACTATCGTTTGATTTTTTTAAACTCAATAAAATTAGAAAGTTTTAAAGGTGATGTACTCGTAAATCGTTGAAGATTTGATGCGAAATAATGGGAACTCTTGACTATATTTCCTTTTAATGTGGCAAAACTTAGATAATATTCAGTTTCAGTTTGGGAAGGACAGGAGGCCTGATGGCCTGTGTTAGTCCTGGCAATGGTGGTCCCTCAGTTGATCCAACTTTCTTTTGAAAGAATCAACGGATGGAGCCTCAACCACGTGCTGAGGTAATGAGTTTCACTCGTTGATGATTCGATGGGAAATTCGACAGTCAGCTGACAATTAATTTGTTCTTGGCTTGTGAACTTTTTTGGAGTGTCCTCGTAAATTCTCTGTTTTGGAAGACTAGAAAAATGAGGGCATATCAGGTGCGAATTTGACACTAAGCAATTTGAAAACTGTAATCAAGTCGCATCTAGTTCTGGGCTATGACAACGGGAAAAGATTCAGCTTGGTCAGTCGAGCTTCATACGGAAGCCTCGCTATTCCGGGAATCAGCTTAGTTGCCGTTCTCTGAACTTTTTCCAGAAGCTCACTGTCTTTTTTTAAGCAGGGGATGGCCGCTTGTATGCAGTACTCAAGTTTAGGACGTACGAACACTGTATACAAAGTCAAAAACGTCTTAGCGTCGACATGACTAAAAGCCCTACGCATTGACCATAAGGTTGTAAAACCTTTGGCGGCTATTGCACGGCAGTGCACAGTAGTCTTTAGATCATACTTTGGTTATAAGCTATTATTATCTAATTATCATTCTTCATTGCAAATTCTTGTTTTACATGTGTAAAAACCTTAGCAAATTTCCGAATGGAATTTTGACCTCATTCATCAATGAGTGATATATATTTTAATTCTTATTGATAATCCTTGTCATGGTTGAACTCCACTGGTAACGGCTTCTCACTAGAACTCCAGGAGTTTTTCCTGAAGTCAGTCACTAGTGAGCAGTTGATTATAATCAGAATGGGTTTTTGTGGAGAGTTTAAGAAATTTCACAAGTTTAAATCATGAGTCAGTTGAAGCTAGACCACCATTGAAAACCTGGAAGCACTGGACGGCCGTTTCGTCCTGGTATGGGACTCCTCAGCAGTGCGCATCCACCGGTCTGTTGTGAGATAACAACTCGCTGAAGACAATGGTGTACGGTGGCGCAACTTCGTGGATTGGTTGAAGTTAGACATTAACACCGTTGGATGCCGGCTCAGTGGTCTAGTGGTTAAGTGCTCGCGCGTGAAGCCAGTAGGTCCTGGGTTCGAGCCCCGCGTGATGCGGGATCGTGGATGCGCACTGCTGAGGAGTTCCATACCAGGACGAAACGGCCGTCCAGTGCTTCCAGGTTTTCAATGGTGGTCTAGCTTCAACTGACTCATGATTTAAACTTGTGAAATTTCTTAAACTCTCCACAAAAACCCATTCTGTTTATTTAATATTACTCATAACGATCAGATAGCAACAGTATTCGAGGTGCTTCACAGAATCTTTATTGCCTGATAAGATTGAAGCAACGTTAAGCATTTTATTCTTTAATTTCATGATTGAAAATTCAGAAGAGAAATTATGATATTTTCTAATTCAATTACAGTTTAACATAAAGTTACCAGAACTATGATGTAATTTCGAAGTTTATCTTCATACCGTCACTTGACAAATGTGTTTAACTCAACTTTCAGTAGGTCCATAACAAATACATTAGCCCAATAATACTTTGAAAATTAAGCTGTAGTAATATTATTACATCAATACAAACATCAAGACAGTCCTACTGTACTGAGCTGAAAATTGCAAAGCTACCACAACAATTATCAAAAATGTACAAATATTTGTAAACAATCGTCCACGCAAAGTACTCAATGTCCGTTGACTGGATACCATCAGAAACAGTCTATTGTGGAAAAGAATAAACCAGCTTCCGGTTGAAGAGGAAATTAGGAAAAGACGCTGGAAGTGGATAGCACAAACATTGTGGAAATCATCAAACGGCATCACAAAGCAAGCGATAAATTGGAATCGTGAAGAGAAACGGAAAAGAGGAAAGCGAAAGAAAACACTGAGTCGAGAATTTGGAGCAGACATGAAAAGGATGAACAGCATGTGGTAACAACTGGGAAGGATTTTCCAGTATAGAGTTGGCTGTAGAATGTTGGTGAGCGGCCTACGCTACTCCATGAGGGGTAACAGGTGCAAGTAAGTAAGTAATATTATTATACAGAAGTTTCAATTTAAGTATAATTTCTTCAATTTATATCAGTACTACTAATAAAATACTAACTGTTGTTAAGTGAGTGATAAATGGTAAGGAAACGGATGAATAATTACGTGTATGGACTTAATAAAGCGTATTGATATATGTGTGAATATTTATTAATTTGATTGTA